CGGGGCTTCTTCTACCCTCAGGCCTCACCTGGGTTAGCATCCCCTCTCAGAAGCATCTGGGTGTGGGAGAGAGCAGCATTCTGCGGTCTCTGTGCTCTCACAGCTGCCTCTATGCTCTGGCTAATTCCAATCCCAGTTCTCTGTGACAGCACTTCAGAGAAATCACCTTGTTGTTCTTCTCCTGAGGTATTGGCACCAGGGTACCAATAGTCAGCTAACCCACTCCCCAATCCTTCCTCACAGAGCATTTAATTTTCTCTAAAATGACACTGCTCTGTGCTGCTGTTCCTGGCAATCTTGAGGGCTCTAATGCTCTTTGTCCACTGGTCTTCCAGAGAACTTGCAGTGATGGGACTGTCTCAAAGGAAGTGTTAAGCCTCCAAACTAAACTGTGATCATCATAAAGGAAGCTGTTTAATTCCTCTCCTCTTAAGAAAGAAGTGAAAGCGGGTTCCAATGACAGGCCTGCGTCCCTGAACATGGTATGCAGGCTTGAATCTGGATCTGTTTCTCTTCATACTGGAAGCCTTAAGCAACTAAGTAGTGTTGCTCTCTATCTGCTGTCTCTAAGTCCCAGCAACGTTAACAGCTGGACTACGCTTCCTGCCTCAGAGCTGGGTCAGGTCCTCTTAGGCATGTTCACTGATGGGCTTTTTCTAGGTTTCATCTTGGGTCACATTCTAAATATCTCAACATCGGTTGGTTGCTTACTTAAAGAACATCTGAACAGACACTGGCAGCAAATAAAACCTCAGGGTGCTCACGCCTAGCTAAACTACTGTTGTCAACATCAGATACCCACACAAGAGTGATGGCAGAGCCAGGCAGCAAGCAAAGTCCTCGAGCATCAGTCATGGAAGGTTTCTGCCGGATTGGTGACACAGAGCAGGTGACTGGTATGCAGTCCCTTTAGCTCCATGATGCTACTAAGCCCTCCTTAAAAGAGGAGATGGGGTGGTGGCCACCAATGTGGAGGTGCATTATGTGGTCAGATGCTCGATGGCCAAAGAGTGGCTTCTTGAGGTGCCAGGGCTCTGTCTTAGGCCTTGTACAGTCAACACTGTGCTTGTGACTCAAATGCTGAAACCCTATAACTATGAAGTATACAGATGATAGAAATATAAGTTTAAAAAGACAAACAACTTAAAAAGAATTTTAAAGCAAATATTTAAAAGTGAACCCTGAAGTTCCCATTTGAGTGTTTTTGTGTATTTTTATAGTTAATACAATAATAAAGAGAAGGACTACATTGACAAGGGTGGACATAGGACAAAAATGTTCAACAGCAGCGTCAGGTAGAACTGTGGACTAATCCTACTCAGTGCTGTGCTGGATAGTTTTATGTCAACTTGACACACACTAGAGTCATCAGAGGGAAGACAGCCTCAACTGAGAAAATGCCCCATCAATCTAATGTAAGCAAACCTACAGTGCAGCTGTTTTCAACCTCACCAATGCCACAGCCCTATAATAAAGGTCTTCATGTTGGGGGGACCCCCAACCATCAAATTTTCATTGATACTTCATAACTGTAATGTTGCTACAGTTATGAATCATAATGGAAATATCTGTGTTCTCCTATGGTCTTAGGTGACCCCTGTAAAGGTCATTCTACCCCACAGGGGTCTCGACCACAGGATGAGGACCACTAAGTCTAGGACATGTTCTTAGTGATTGATATGGGAGGGCCCAGCCCATTTGTGGGTACTGTCATCCCTGGGCTGATGGTCCTGGGTTCTACAAGGAAGCAAGCTGAGCAAGCAATGTGGAGCAAGCCAGTAAGTAGTACCGACCCCTCCATGACCTCTGCATCAGCTCTTGCCTCCAGGTTCCTGCTCTGCTTGAGTTCCTGTCCTGACTTCCTTCAGTGATGGACTACAAGGCAGAAGTGTAAGCCAAATAATCTTTACTTCCCCAATTTGTTCTTGGTCATGGTGCTTCATCACAGCATTAGGAACCCAAACTAAGACAGTGGTACTCTGGTACAGGTGCATCATTTAAATGAGATAAATCAGTTCCACTGCTGCCAATCTCAGGATATTACTATCCCACCCATTCCCCCTATAGGTCCCTGCAAAACAACACAGATTAAGGCATTGCCACAGGTGGCCAGCAGACTAACCCAGAACTGCTAAGACTGGGCAGGTCTTCAAGAACATGGACCACTCTTGTCCTGGCTTCTACCAGCAGAACACAAAAGGTCAGAGGTCCAGGCCACAAAAAAAAAAAGAAAAGAAAAGAAAAGAAAAGAAAAAGATGATTCTGTTTTTGAAGAAACCTCAAAGAAGGATTTTTTTTTTTAAGTCAAAATCTCAACCACCAGATATACAATCAGATTTCCAAGAGAGTGAAGAAATGGAAAGAGGAGCATACAGGAGGCAGGCATGCTGGCCACTCGTCTCCATTGGCACTGAAACCCCACCCCAAGATGCACACCCAGGGAGCAGCAGCACAGAGCACAGTTCAAGTGACCCAAGTTGCAAGAAAACTAATGTTGACGCTGTCACTTGCAATTATAATTTCCATCCCACAGAGCTTTAGCAGGCAGTCAGGGAAAGTGAGAGGCAGTGGCTCAGGGGTTGCATGGAACAGCAGAAAAGGCAGTGCATTTTGGGTAACTGAATCCCAGGGGAAAATCAAGGCTTCAGGAATTTGTTTTAATGGCATACCCATCCACCTAGGAGAGAAGGTTCACAAATATGTCTTGACACTGAAAGACCCCACTCAGCTGTGCCTGTCTCACCACTAACCTACAAACAGTGCTTTCTACATATGTGACAGAGGTCTACACAGGGCCCCATCTCCATCTGCATACGAATGAACAGTAAGACAACTTTGTATCTCCAACTTATGAGGATAATTCAGGGCAAATGAACCCTGCCCACTGGAGTTATATTCCAAAGGGAGATGGTCAACAAACAGAAACTTAGGGATTCCCAGGAAAAATATCTGTGTATCTGGTGGGGGGCAGTGTGCTATTTTCATTTGGCTCATAGAGAGGGCTGGGATGTACTTAGCTGTGCTTCCACTGAGTGGCCTCCATGACAGCATGGCTCTAAACCAAAGTAGGAGAAACAGAGTGGCCTGCCAGCACTGGAAGAAAAGGCATGCACTGTGCTTGTGTGTTCCAGGGGTAAAATAGTGGTGGACGGTCTTAGAATGTGACAGGGGTAGCAGAGAGCATACACAGACCCAAGGGAGGGCGCTCACTCCTGGAGGGTGCTGTAAGCCACAGCAAGAGTGCAGACTTTGGTTTCAGTTCCAGCTGCTGCATATGAACTGTTAAAGAACGGAATGAAGTGAGCTACCCAGGGGAAGAAACTGGATAAACGTGGATAAATAGAGAGGGCCAAGAAGGTACCTGGACACCCAGCCGAGGACTGGCCACCAAGAAGGACATGCTGCTTGTGATACAAGGCTTATGATTTTATGCAGATGAGGACAGAGACTGCAACCTTGAGAATATGGAGGCATCTGCCTCAGGGAGGTGTTTTCACAAATCACTGTTAATGTTTTAGCTACACCACAAGGCACTGTCACTAAGCCCAGTGCTAATTTATATTTTCATACATTTCTTGTCTCCTGGACATGACAGATTGTCTTCCTGTTCCCATCAGACTTAGTCTCTAACAGGCTGTTGTTCCTCTCCTAGCCAAAGCTCAGGGCTTATGCACAAGTGAACTCTCCTATGCAGCCAGGGCTCAGACATGCTCGCTGAGAATTGCAAACAGCTTAACAAAAGCCGCAACATGACTCCATTTCCCCTCCATCTAGACAACTGCCTGCAATAAAGAGCAGCTGAAAAAAAAACGTGGTCATCAAATTCCATGTAAGGTCACCAGGGTGCTTACAGAAGGCAGAAGACATGGTGGCTGTCCCCATGTGGACTCTGAGTCACCAGAGCAGATTGGGGAAGGACAATCTCTTTACATCTACTTTAGTAATTCAGATAGACCCTCACATCACACTTGATGAAACAATGACCAGTTTAAAGCATCATAGTGTGCACAGTGATGAGCCACTGGGAAAGTCACTTTGCTTGCCTGAGCCCTCCATTCACAGACACATCTCAATAACTGTCAAATGACCTTTGACCTGCCTAGCTACATGTAATTTAAACATTTTCAAAATTGCTGTTTCATTTTGCCATCTGCTCTGTGTGCTGATGTACAAGTTGGTGTCACACTGGGCAGGAAGCTTTCTCTACATACAAAATAGCTTATTAATGCCAACACCATCTCTCCTGAAGATACCTTCACACAAGCCCTTAAGAATCACTCTGCTTCCGATGCTACTAACCTACATTCCTGATACTGGGACATTTGAAATACGGAGAAGCTAATGTCAAGACCCACTTCAACAGCTGTACCTGCATGGCATGTGTTTCTGAATGAGTACAAATAAATCTCATGTAACATTTTCTGTTAAGCTAAAGCCTGCATGACTACATGCTGCATCTTCAAGTGGGTTCCTTTCACCACTGTATAAAAGAACCTTCCAGGTTGTTTGGAAAATCCTAGAACATCTCTAATGCTCCATTGCCAGGCAAAGTTTTTAAAACAGAAGGAAGACAAGTGACTACTTTGAGTCACAGAACTGACTGTCCACTGGGGGTTGGGGGGGGATGGACGGACTATGATTCAATATTGTTTGAAAAATGAAATCAAGAATTAAAAATAGAATTGTATTTTCTACTTGGCAACACAAACAACACTAAGTGCACCTTCATCAATCTGACGGCTGTTGTACTAAGTGATAGCACCATGGATCACATTAGTAGAAGACTTGGCAGTTTTTGTTTTAGAGCAGAAAGAATGGGGTGTCAATATGTGCAAACAGCTCTGTTATCTGAAGAGAAGGGCAGAGGCAATATGACAGGCTTTCCCAGGGTCAGAAGCTGGCATTAATGCCCTCACTGGGCTGTTCCTCCACCTCCAGCTTCAGAACAGCAACACAGTGCCAGAGACACCTCAGGGAGACATTCACTGTGGCTTCCTCACCTGGTGTGCAAGGGGAGACGAGTGTCTGCCCCTTCTGTCATCCCGAACAGGGAAGAGAGACTTCAGCAGCTTTGGCATCTGTGGCACCAGGGACTTCACTGGGTTCAAGTAAGAGGCTGCCAAGCCTCCCAGTCCTGTCAGGATTAAATGAAAACAATGGCACATAACTTTTGCTCTGTATTTGCCAAGAGTCATCTGTAAGCAAATCCAGCAGTATAAACTACTCCAGGCATCTCTAACATCATTAGTAGAAAAGGATTATCACAGCCGGCATCTACCACTTTAAGGAGCAGTAACTAAAGCAACCATGAAGCTCTGAGGTGCATGGCTCCTGCTAGTGTTGGAGGGTGACCTATCCTCACTCCTTGTCAATACCTAACACAAGGACTAACTTCTGCTCTAGAGGAAGGAGAACTCTGTTTTTGTGTGCTTGGTTCTGCGTGCTCACTTGCTTGTGGTGTTTTGAAGGCTTGTTTTCGACACAGGGTCTCACTATATACTCCAAGCTGGCCTTGTACTCATAGGGATCCTACTGCTCTACCTCCCCAGGGCTGGGATGAAAGATGTTGTGCACACCACAACTTGCTATGAATCTTAAAAAGAACAGCTCAAGTAAATACTGTGACATTTATAAGAATAAACAATAACCTAGATAATATCAAAAACGTTTTGGCAACTAGGCCTTAGGAAGCAATCTGATAAGGAACACAAAGGTTTAGATCACTCCACACTAAAGAAACCCAAGTCACAATTCAAAATCTTCTCCACAAAGAAAATGCCAGCTTCAGACAGTATTACTAAGTAATCTTGTCAAACATTTAAGGAGTCTATATTATCAATCACACAGAAACCCATGCAGAAAAGATACGAGAACCGATTTCCAAAGCACAGTGTGAGGCAAAAACAATCTTGATACCAGGGGCTGGAGGGTGCTCAGCGGTTAAGAGCACTGACTGCTCTTCTAGAGGTTCTGAGTTCAATTCCCAGCAACAACATGGTGGCTCACAACCATCTGTAATGAGATCTGATGTCCTTTTCTGGTGTGTCTGAAGACAGCTACAGTGTACTCATATACATAAAAATAAATAAATTTTAAAAAGAAAAAAATCTTGATACCAAAACTTAACAGCTATGAGGATGTAAAGGCTGAAAGTCATCACGAACCACATACAGACAGTAAGTATTAACAAACAAGTTGAGCGTTAAGAAGACAAGAGAGTCACGGGTAATTTATCAGAGGAATACAGGGTAAAGTCACCCTTCCAAACCAATGCCACCCAACATGCTAAGACAAGGTGACATTCTGATGAACAGAGATAGCCTGTGGATACAGCAGGACATCCTGGTTGAACCTTTTTATCAAAGATACTCAATTTCATGGCAGTGATTGGCAGATGAAAAACACTTACCAGGATCAGGAGACTGGTTATTTTGGGGTGAGACAGAGACAGCTGGAGAACCTGGACCTATTCCTCTGGAAACTAGTGTTTGGGACACATCCTGTTGACTTTCCCACCGGCCCTATTAAGCACAGGGACAAAAAAGTTAAGTCATTTTGTTTCAAATTAATTAGTTTATGTTTTAAAAAAAATTATACAATACTCCAGAAAAAGCCTACTAGCATTACTAAAGCATTATTCTCTGTGATGGAAGTCTGACTGTATCACTCTTCCTCAAGCTTGCCATGTGTGTAAGGGGCTGTGTCCCCTAGTAGATGAGTGTTCACTGCAGACTCTTCTCCACTTTACAACCTGTGACTGCCAACAAGTCATCCCAAACTCTACCGCATCCTGCCACCTCCTCAACACAGGCTCCTTTAGAAAGAAATACCCTCAAATTCTGCCCTGACTCCTGTGGCTGGAGATGACACCCTCACTCCTATGTCTCAACTGGAGCCCAGGAATGGGTTCTGGGAAGTAGCATAGTACTGAGCCCCAAGTTGTGAGCAAATCTTAAGCTCCCTTTCGTCCTGTGATAACTCAGGTCTTTCTCACTGAGGTTAAGTAACAGTTTAAATATTAGTTTAACTGAGCATGCTACAGACAAAGGACCCAGGGTTAACCAGGATGTCCTGAGGGCTGCTAAAAAGCAGAGTAGAAGTGTGGATCCTGGGAGGCTCAACACTGAGGGGGACAGCCCACAGCTTCCTACATGGATTAGCAATCTATCTGCTTTTAGCAGCAGCCTAAAGACTGATCACAAAATCAATAAGCTCTAAGTGATCTGGATCGTGTTCACCACCGAGAACTCACTCAGCACTTGATGGCATTAAAACAAAACAGAACAAGAAAACACTGCTGCTCTCCCTCAGCACTCATTAGGAAACAGACAGAATACAGACTCCAGACACGTGATCAGGGCAGTAACAAATGCAGCTCCAGCTGGGCATCCACACCCCTATGGCTAGCATGCTTACTACAGATTTTAGACTCCTGCTAATTTTTATTTTTAATTTTTGGCATTCTAGCTTAATTATCCTTCTTGGGATGCTACCCACTTGGGTGCCTTGGGGTGTCACGTCAGTGTCTGAACACTAAGGTCAGGAGTTTAAAGAGTCTCAGTGGAAGAGATGTTGAGATCTCTGTTCATGATGTCAAGTTCATACAAGGTTATTCTGAAGACAACTTACTTCATCATAGAGTAAATTTATTCTAATATCTTAGGCTCTATTATCTGGCAGCTGACAGAACCACACTGTGTATTGTAGGAAACTGAGCAGCTACACTGCAATAAGCATCCAGGCTGTGTGACACAGAGTTGTCCAGTAATAACTGAAGGAAGTGTCCTTTCTTTGGGGCACAATCAGGGCTCCCCTGGTACCCAGTGCACAATTCGCATGGAGGCTGAACAAGAGCAGTGGCTCTTCCTGCCTCACATCCCAAAACTCTGAGTATAAATAAATGACAGGTCCAGACAACACTCAGACACAGCCTAAGTACATTGCAGGCCTGTGGGTTAATGGCAGATAGAGAGACTATCATAGCACCTAACACAGGTCCCTGTAATCAGGACAGACAGGGAACCTCACAGTCACTTGTTCCCAGCTTCACTGCCCAGAGTCAGGATCTGAGTACACGGGCAGATCTGGCTGTACTCCTAGGGACAGATCTGAGAAGAACCAAGGTAGCCCCCCTTCCCTGCCAGCCCCTAGAGACGCACAGAAACCTCCCACCATGTGGTTCTCTCCCTAACCCTGCACAGCTCACCAGAGATGAACGCAGCATCCTAGGTAGGGCTGCCCATGGCTGTGTGCCCCCCCTCATCCCCGCCCCCAGACAGGACAAGTGCTGACTGTGTAATAAATCAGACCTCCCTGGCTATGCTAGTTTCTCCCTTTATTGCAATGCTGGGGGAGAGAACAGAACCAAAACCAAAATAAAGCAGCCACCAGTTAAATGTACTTCAGGGGGAGTAAACTTGGGACTGTGGGTAAAGGGGACTTTTGCTCTGGAATTTTTCTGAGCAAACAGCTCAGACCTAAAGGAGAAAAGCCATGATACCTCCTTCCTTCTGCCATAGTCGAGCGCACCTGGCACTTCCAAAGACTGACTAGTCTATTCCTAATGTCTGCTTCCTTGCTGAACTTCAGAATCAGCCATGAAAACACTGGGAAAGGACTCTGGGTTCATTTGGATCCCACACAGAGACTATTTGTTCTAAAAAGCAGAACTCAAAAACACAAAACAAAACCTTTCAATATTTTAGGGAGGACCCCAGACTCAGAGGCACAGTGAATACAGCAAGTCTAGGAGGTCCTTGCAGGCTCCTTGTCTACCAGCCATCCTCCCGTCAGCCCCTGCTCTTCCACCAAATATAATTTTTTGGCTTTCTGTAAAAGACTTTGACTTTGATCAGGAAAGTAACAAAAAAATAAAAAGATGTGTCCATGTCATTTCCAGCACACAGGGAGCTCTGATGCAGCTGAAGATGACTCATGTTTGGCATCTCTGGAACCAAAGCTGAGCGGATGGCAGTTCCAGGAAGCTTTGGTAGTTCCGCCCTGCTCAGGACACCAGAAGACTTGAACTTTGTCAAGAGCTTCTGAGGAGGGCTGGGAATACACCTCAGTGCTAGAGCCCTTCCCTGGTTTGCATGAGGTCCTCAAAAAGCATCACACACAAAAACCACCTGAGAAGACAACAACACTGCTTTACTAACTCAATACAAATGCCATTTCTAAAATGGCTTTAGGAATGACAACAGACTTGTTGACAGTTGTCCTTGTACTATAGAATGTCTCAATACACCGCCAGCTTTGCAGTGCCAAGGCCAGCAACAAGCTGAAATTAATTCTGCATGGGATACCCACAAGTAGACAGTCATAAAGAATTTGTTTTCATTGCATCTATTAAAAATTTCTCTAAAACAGAGGCAAAGCATCCCATAAAGCAAAACCCACTTCAATATGGTCACATCTTATATTTTTAATTGTAAGACTTTCTATGAGGATTCCTTTGGGCTCTAAGGTGATGGTAATAATCAAGCTCTTTAATTAATTACTTTACCAACTCAATCTTGGTGAAGCAATTCTGATTTTAACATGGAAGAGCTTCAATAAATAAAACATGCTCAATAAATAAGTGTGTCCAAATGCATGCACGCAGGCACACACAGCTAACTGAACTCAACAAGTTCTCATGGCCCCATTAACCCCAGTTCAATCATCCTTCTCCCCTCTTGCCTCTTGACACCCCCTTAATGCCACTTGCTCTGTAGCACAGAGCTGAGAGCACACTCAGATTGAGAGAAAACTAGAGCTGACCCCATGAATGCTTGCAAGACAGACATAACTAACATGAGGATTATTTTTGATGATTTCAAAATACATTTTCTAGCAATTTTAGCATCATCAAATCTGGGTTGAAATCTGTAGTACTAACTCCCTAGACATTAAATACTTCCTTGTAGAGAAATCAAGATGGAGCATTTTTGCCCATGTGCCTGTGCATGTGTGTAGTACTTAACCACAGCACAGGTGTGCAGTTGGTTTCCTCTGCCACTATCAGGATGCTCTGTGACACCCTAATACCTGTGCCGAGTCACTGTAAGCACAGCTGTGGTTAAGGGTTTGACAGGTCCTCTGACCTTTTAAAAATCTGTATACCTTTAGGAACTCTCCAATAGATGTTCATAACCCATCTTATACATTCAAAATGATACAGGCTACAGGGTTGAGTCTTGTTCCTTAATTCTGAGGGAAATACGATTCTTTTTTCACTAGTGAGAAGATATGACATAAAACATTCATGAGCCGATAATCTTTTACAGTGCTTTGCTTTAGGCCCTGCACAGGAAAATGGGGAGCTACCTTATGGTCTGTATTCCATTCATATGGCCAGTAATATCCTTGTCTGCTGCCATCTGCCTGTCCTACCCACAGGCATCTGTGACAGAGCAGTTCACCTCCTGGCCCAGGAGTGAAAGCAACAGCCTAAGGTAGTACTCACAGGCTGCTTACAGCCAGATGCATAGGAGGATGCAAAGATGTCTTCATGGTGGAACTGACAGCCATGGAAATCACGTTACCTGAAGCCATAGCACTGAGGGGGTGGGGGTAGGGAAGGAGAGGGAGAAGGGACAGAGGGAGAGGGAGAGGTGGAGGCAGAGGGAGAGGGGGAGGGGAAGGGGAGGGGAAGGAGGGGGGAGAGGGAGGAGAGGGAAAGGGAGAGGGAGAGGGAGGAGAGGGAGAGGGAGAGAGGGAGGAGAGGGAGAGGGAGACAGAGAGAAACAGAGACAGACAGACAGACAGACAGACAGACAGACATGGGGGTGCGTCAAAGTCTGAGCACTGTAAACTGTACCAAGCCAGAGTCACCAAGACAGAACCATCACACAAGCCAAATCTGAGCAGCTTGAAACAACAGCACCATTTTCTCCAAGTTAATCAGAAACCCCAAGACATCCAGAACAGAAAAGAAAGTTGCTAGGACAGTAACAGAAACATTTAATGTTCTTTCACCTCAAGCAATACAACAGACAGACTGCTAGAGACTCAGCCTGATCTCTCCCAGTGCTCAGCAGAAATGGCCTGGAAAGGTGCACTCACCCGGTACCACCGCCAAGCAACCCTACGGTCCTCACCCTCAATGTTGTATCGAGGTCCAACATGCTCTATGCACCTCCTTCTCTCTGCACACACATACACATTCCCACAGCCTCACCTGCCCCCCCCCCACAGTAATCTACTCTGTCACAAAGTCTGAATGGCACCTAGTCCGCTCCTTCCCCACACAACATTTCTTCCTGCCCACAGGATCCCAGAATCCATCTCTTTAGTGTAACTGACTGCTTCTATTTCTTCCCAAGGACATCTCTTTTCCCTTCCATAGTCCCTCCTATCCAAATACACTTTTTCCCTTCACACTGATAACTACATACAACACTCTGGAGTACTCTACACACTACAGCCAGCAGCAAGATGGCTGGGGCTCAGCTAGACAGTCCATCCCAAGTCTCACACACACACACACACATACACACACACACACACACACACACACACACACACACACACACACACCAAGACCTCAGCATATACTGACTCAGGAATTCTAAACAAGGCCCCTCCTTCCTGGGCTTCACCCCACTCTCCTATGGACAAGACTGTTCACCCTGTGCCTGTGGTCACACAGGGGCTTCTATCCAAAATGTAAACTCCAGCTCTTTACTTGCCTATGTGCACATGGGGTCACCCTTGGGGTTCCACACATAGACACCGCCTCACTGCAACCCTTGTAGGATGTGTGGAGAGCAGGTGTATGCCCTATGTGTGGTTCTTACTCTATCTGCCTCAGCCTGGAGTGCATCTGTGTCCCTTCACCCTTCCTACTGCTGCAGAGGAAGCATGTCATGGTCTCAATTTTATGATAAGGAAAGAACGAGGAGACAGAAAAGCAAAAACCTTAGCCACTTCTTACAAGGAATTTATAACTGAGGATTTGAGTTAAATGCACCTCCCCCAAACACACAAAGTCAGGCCTTTTCTTTCCTATTACATATATTTCCCTTAATAACTCCTATAATCACACTCAAAAACCATCACACAATTAAGTTCCCAAAATCTCTACTTCCTTCCAATGGACTGATGCAAGAACCAAACCACAGTATCTTCCAAGCCCATGTACTAACTGAACTCCACCATGTCTGTGTGCACATGTGCGCTTGTGTGATTTCATGTGTGGGTATGGTTATGTTTTCAGGCATGGTAACAGCCTGATTTTAAAATGAATCCTAGTCATTTTAATTTCATCTTCATTGTTTCTTACGTTTCCATAAAGAAAATGTCAAACACAAATACAGAATAATTAACAAGAATAGAGATACTCTCATGAACACCACTTGGCCTTAACAATTATCAATCAGCCAATCTCTATTTCCCTACACGCCCCTGAGTCATTCTGAAGTAACTCCCCACATTACACTGCCACTATGACAATGCAAACTCCCAGTGTACTCTAGGGTCATCCTGTCAGCACAGCACCAACACTTAGCCAGGCACCTCAGAGTGACAGAAACAAACTGTGAGGGGTAACACCCAGGTCAAGGCAGCTGCAAGAAGTGCTGACCTTTTTAAGCAAACAATAGTGTGTTTCTATTTGCATAAAGCTGTTACTGGGATTTACATGTTTTCTTTTTTCCTAATAAGTAATAATAATAATTATATTTTTTATTTCTTGTAAGTTTTATATCATTATATCCTAGCTTTACTATTATAAATAAAATTTGAAGTTTCCTCTTCATAAGTAAACAGAATATTATAAGCAGAAAGATAACTTTTAGCAAAACCAAACTTTTTAATTCTATAAGAGGATGTTAGTGAATCTCAACGGCAGGATCAGAAAAACCAACGTGGAACTCTGTCCAATAAATGTCGCAAAACCAAGGTGTGTAGGAAGAGTTCAGACATATGTAAGGACAGAGGTTTGAGCAGAAAGGCGAGGAGTTAAGTGTTAACTCACCTTGTTGCTGCCTAGGCTGTGGGATGGGCTAAGCTCCTGTCTGCTTCCTGACAACTGGGAAGAGATAAAAGAGGATTAATGTAAAAGCATGAGAGCATCTAGAAAGAGCTTGCTTTGAAAATCAAATCAAACAGGGCCTGAGTGCCTGTGCCTGTAACCCCAGCATTTGAGAGGCAGAGACAGGAGGATCACAGTGTGTCTGAGGTTATCCTGTTTCCCAGTCAGAGAGACACAGTGAGACAAAAAATCATAACCAACCAAACCAACCAACCAACCAACCAACCAACCAACCAACCAAGACCAATACTGCAGACCAGTACCGTCTCTGGGATATGAAAACCACTGAGTAGTTACCAGCAACTTCCCATGGGTGGTTTACCTAGGCTCTAGTGTCCACTATACACTGGGCTGATACCTCACTGGGTCTGAACAGAAGACATTTCACCCCTTTAATGTCACTGGATCCTGCCATGGCCTGAGCATTTTGTCTAAGAATAAACTATTTAGATTACTGTTGAGGCTCATGTGAGAGAACAACAAACAGTTTTAGAACTCATGGAATGCAGCCCATCAGTCAGTACAGCCACGATGGGTGTGCCCGTCAGAGGCAGAGGAATGAGGACTGTGCATCCTGAGGACTTCACACTGTGGTAGTTTCGCTCTGCTTGCTGCCCCCAGTCATCATGCCCCTCCTAATCATCGGCACTTATAATAACAGTAACTGGTCTTTTCCAGCATTGCTGTTGCAGCAGATTATTACTCAATCACCACTCCCAGAAAGAACTTAGAGATGGAGATTGCTAGTAATATCCATCACTCCTAGAAAGAATTTGGAGATGTAGACATTAGGTTACAATGTGTTCACTGGTGGCTTTGATGCAGAAAATCTTGGGGGACAATTTAAAGTTCAGAAAGTCACACACCTCAATAGTTGAGCCAGGAATGTTTTTGAGGTCAGGGTACAGGAACAATGGTAGCCCAACTAATACTAGATGAAAGCCTTTCTTGCTAAGGCTGGTCTGGTGATTAAGGCAATGATTATTTTCTTGTAACCATTTTTGCCCTCGGCTTCCTGATATGATTTGATAAAAAATTGTTAGTTGGTAGGTGTGCACCCTGATGATGTAAAGTAGCAATGACTGATGGTTTTTTATATGAAAGTTTAGATTTGTGATTCTTTTTAAAAAAATTTTATAGACTGCTTTTTAAGATAAATAATAAAACAATTGATCCCTTCTCTGTAAGTACAAATTACACCCTGCCAGTAAGAGAAACTGGCCAAGAAAGACTTGCTTACATTTTGTTAATCTATAACAAGTTGCTTAGATACAACTATATGTGGGTTCTTGGGAATACTTTGTTTTTTATCTGTACTACGTGAAACATTTAATCATGTAAAGGCATTAGGGAACAGGCAGGTTTTTTACTCATTGTAATTATTCACTTAAAGAAAAACAGAATACAGCCACATTGTAATTGTGTACTGCTTGAGAGATTCTGCTGGGGGATATAAGTGAAGGGAGTTGTTTTGCTTTACCCACCAAGTAAGAGAGTATGAGAGTGTGTATGAATGTGTGTACATGTGTGTGTGTCTGTGTGTACATGTATGTGTGTCTGTGTACATGTGCGTGTCTGTGTGTACATGTGTGTATTTGTCTGTGTGTATGATATTTTCCTCCTTTTTCTCCAGCTCCAGAGACTTTTTCACTCACTCCAAAAAATTTTTAGTCCCTCAGAGAAAAATTTGTTTAGTGATTAATCAAGAACTCCATGCCCCTTCTCAGTGAACCTGACCTGTCGAAGGTGGCCTTAGGCAGATTATAGTACCCCAGATACCAAATCTCTGCATTTGCCATATGTTAATAACTTTCTGAAGGGACCTGGAACTAGTGGAATTTCTACATGCCTGAGAGTGACCCTGCACTTCAGGTCTGTGATGGTCAGACATGCCTCCTGCACCTCTGCAACCACGGGCTCACCAGTGGAAAACCTGCCCTGCTTGTCATTCCCAAACACCAGGTTTGAGGCAGCTGCTCTTTCCAACAAAGCTGAGCAGCCAAGGACAAATGAGCACCTGCTCTTCATCCCCACATCTTCACAGAAATAAGGAGCAGATAAAGAGCTGCTGGCACATTTCTTTGTCAATAATTATCTCCATGTTCAATGTGCATATGAACTATATATATTTTTAATCCAACACATCTTAGACATAGTTATATAAAATACATGTAACCTGTTTTACTCATTTATACTACCCTCAATGGCCTTCAAGTGATTGGTCTACAAACATATACCAAGCTTCCTAATGTAAAAATAATTAATTAAAGCCCAGAAAATGACTTTCTTGCCCTGGGCAGCAAAGCTGGGTTTAAGCTCCACACACACTTGTGACCTCCCAACCTGTGCTGGCCAGGTGGTGACAACAAATGAGCAATGTGTGCCCATGACACTCAAGCAAGCATCCTGGGTCTAACAGCACGCACAGATATGACAAGAGGAGGCATAAGGCATCCTGACAAGAAGGCAGCAGCAAGAGAGACTCACTCTGTTCATGCTGGGAGAGCTAATACTCCTCCGGTTCAGCTTCCCTTTCCCTGTCAGCTGCTCCTTCACTGCCACTTCCTGGGAATTGGAAAATACATCAAAGAGAGGCACATATGAGAGGTGCACTCCAACACACATGGTTCAAGGTTGTCCACATTCTTTAAGTACCAGCCATGACTTGACAAAACAGAATGACCCCATGCAGTCAGTGGATTTTGTGAGAGTAAACTCTTCAAACCAGACTCCAGAAAATCAAGTACAGAGGCCACATGGGCCTCCACCATAGCACTGTTAACCACTAACCTGACGCAGACGATCTAAAGTCAGGAGGTTTTCCACAGCCAGTACACTCCTCAAGTACTTCTCAATATAAGCCTCAGAGTCAGCAGAACTTGGGTTTTCCACATTAGCTGCCATCCTTGCCAATGCCTCTCGCTCCTCCACTCCCTGGGCATCCTGAAGAACAAAATGATGCACAGTTAAAAAAATAAACAAAATTTTAAAAAGGCTGAAAAAGAAAGTGTTGCAGATGCTTTACACACAGGCACGCACACATACACACATTCATCCTGAACTGAAGGATGCATGCTGAAACTACACTGAAGACATCATTACAGATGCACCACATACACACACATGCTCAAACACATTGATACATGCACAGTCACACATACATACCCATACAAAGGACTCTGAATTGATAAAATTCAATGGGACCCCAAGCTCCATTTTAACATCAGCTTTTAGAACTCAAAATGCCCTCTCCCCCAGAAATCATGACCCATCATTAGGTACCAGCTTAACCTGGAAAGGCTGCTTAAACAGCAGCCTTCACAAACATTCCAAACACAGCTGTACCCACTTCACAGTCACTACCAATTACTACCTAGAAAGGATTCTGCAGGTGGTCTGGAAATCCACCTATAGAAATGGTAGAAATACCATTCCGACGACAGTTCTGCAAGATGGTGCTACCCCCTAGGACTCATGTGAGCTGGGTCAACCCACTAGACAAAGAGGAGATCTATAGTCCCCAATATTTAAGTGAGATGCTGATGCAGTGTGGAGATGGGAGTGGAAGCAGGCAAGGCCCTAGCTGCTGTCAAGCAGCCTGACGCTCAGATTGCTGATCTTCTAACACTACCTGAGTCCTCCCTGGGCAGCAGCAGTGGCCAAAGGCTCTGGAGAACAGAGGTGAATCCCCACCCTGTTCTACTGACTGAGCTGCCAATTCTCAATAAGGGCAACTTATGGGTCAGGAGGGATGAAACAATGTTTGCTAACTCTGGAAGCCTAGCGAATTACCAGCCATCCAGTCTCACAAGGGTGCTTAGTCTTAAGCTTATTCCCCTGCAGTCCTTCCCTTTTAACTCTCAGGAAGAACAATGAATGAAGCACAGAGTAATCTTTTCTAGTCCAAGATCTCGTAATTAATTAGCTATTGCTGCAAACAGCTTCCTTGCTGACTGTTTGGCTGATGACGGCTGAGAATGTATTCAGGACCGGGCACAGGCTATACAAGGGTGCTATCACAGTTAGGCTCAGCCCTTGGCTTTGAGGTTGGGCAGGGAGTTTATTGTTTATGATAGGGTCTCACTAAGTAACCCAGACTAGCTTCACACTCATGATCCTCCTACTTCAGTCTCCCAGTTCTAGAATTATAGACAAATACTCAAACCTAATTCTCAAATGCTGAAGAGGCTTCAATTTCAAATTAAATACTTAAATAGTTAATGTTTAATATGTAAGATTAACTTTAAAAAACCAGGAAAGAGGAAGTTACCACTGGATACTTTTGGAGACAAGAGCTTTGCAACATAATGTAATAGGGAAGATAATGCAAAGATCCCTCCATCTTGTATCCTTGCTGAGATCATTTCAAGTTTGACTACAATTGGATCTCCTTGATACAGAATCCCATGGAAGATTACCCAAGTCTACTCTAGTAACCCAAGGTCAGGATGTCCTAGCTAACTTATCTTACCCTATCGTGTGGAACCCCCTACATTTAACCACCTAGTTTTTGTTGAACTGCTTGCTTCTGCAAAGCACCCCTGAAGCTTCAAAATGAGATGCCAACACATGGTTTTGACCTTAAAAATGCTCTGAAAACTCTGGGTTGCACCTAGGTTCCCGAGTACCCAGATGTGGTCCTAGTCAGCTGTAAACTGTCAGAGTGGTCATCTCTGGTGGATTCCCTGGAACAGTACAAAAATCTAAAAAACAAAGCCTAGGTGCCATCAACTTCTTGCTCCCCTATACAGACTGCTAAAGCAGGTATTGCCTGGGCAGTGGTGGCACACACCTTTAATCCCAGCACTTAGGAGGCAGAGGCAGTTGGATTTCTGTAAGTTTGAGGCCAGTCTGGTCTACAGAATAAGTTCCAGGACAACCAAGAGTACACAGAGAAACCCTGTTTCCTTAAAAAAAAAAAAAAAGGCAATTATTGTCCACCCACTATCAAAGCACTTAGCAGAATCAAAATCCACAAATTCTACCACCTGGAATTAAGACTAAGAGGCAGTACTGACAGCCTGTGGAGAGGCCCCAAGTCTCTAGTCCCTGTGTACCCTCTCCCCAGAAAACATCATTCTCTGATTTAAAGTATGCAGATTCACCTGCTAGTAAGAGACAGAGACTGGACTTCAGTCTGGTTCTACACCAGACATATCTACACTGGACTGTTTCTGCCCTCTATGACTAACACCATATTGCTACTGCCCGTTGTGTTTTAAAATAAGAAGCCATTGAATTGCTTTTCAAAATAGAGTTCTTGGCTAGAAATATGGCTCAATGGGTAGCAGCACCTGCAGGCCAAGCCTAGAACCTGACTTTGATCCCTGGAACCCTTGTAGGAAACTGCATGCAAAGACACACATCTGTGAGTCCCAGACTCATAAGGCAAAATGGGAGCAGACACAGGGGAACCTGCTGGAAGCTCAGTGTTCAGTGATAGAGGAAGATTCTGGAAGGAGAGAACTGACTCCTCAGAAAGCTGTCGTCCCTGGCATGCCATGGTACTTCTCTCTCTCCTCACCTCTCTCTCATGTACTCTTACACATTTACTCAATAAATAAACAACTTTTTAAAACAAGAGAGGTCTTTAAACAAAATACTAAAATTTCAACTTTTAAGGCCACAAATACATTGTACAAAAAGTTTAGGATAGAGGACTCATTAAAATATGTATACATTTTTCTAAGTAGATGGTTCATTTTTTACATTTATTTGTTTGTAGTAGGTAGCAGTGCAAGTGAAAGTTAGAGGACAACTTGCAGGAGTTGGGTCTATACTTCAATCATGTGGATTCCAGGGATGGAATAAATCCGGGTCACAAGGCTTGGCAGCAAGCACCTCTGCCTGCTGAGCCATCCTACCAGCCTGTTTCATTGCCTATGGTATTTCCTGGGTGGGTGATTTTTTTGAGGAATTAGGTCTTTACATGTTTATATCCAGTTCAAGCTTCCTAGAATACATTACCTCTGGAATATTGGAGACAATTTCAAAGGTCACTCCACAGCCAGGAATAGAGCTCCGATGAGACATCTTTTTGAGAAGACTTTGAGCAAAGCCCTAGAGAAAAATAAAATATAGACCATTATTTCCAATCCTGCTAGCTCTGTTTACTGTAACAAAGAGCAACAAAGGGTGCTTTGCACTCAGAGCTAATATAAGAGCAGGCTTCTGACACAAGTGTGTAAGATCCCCAGCACCAGGCATAGCCCCTTCACTTAAGCACAGAACCAATGGACTGGAACCTGTACTGTGCCTTGGGTCCTGCACCTGATTAGGAAGAACTGAGACCTGGGATCTGGAAGCTGCCTCCATGCATCTGAATAAACCCCGAAGACAGAACGTACAACAAACAAAACGACCTTCTAAGAAAGACTGAAGCAAGGACTGGGGCGCCGACACTTTCCTCCTCCAGCACGATAGACATCTGGTACCATGAATATTGACAAGTTCAGACATTAAATTCTTGACCAAAGCAGGATCGTTATGAAGGATGATTTAAGAGTGCCTGGTCATTGTTTATGCTGACTGTGCTCTTTGCACAGTTAGGAATTGAACTGTTGAATTAATTCATAGATGACTCATTTGGAGAAGCTGCGAAGATTGAACATTCTGCAGAGGCTGAAGAGAGCAGCCATGAGGGCGGAATGCAGTTGAATAAAGATAAGGAGAGTAGTGAACAGGCATCAGGCAAAAGGTGAGGCAGAAGTATGCAAAAACCCAAAGGAAAAAAGAAAATCAGCTGGTGCTAAAACCACATCATTTTATAATCCTATCTAATGATGATTTATTTTCCATTTGGTGATTGTTAACTAATTTTTAAAAGAGTCTCTCAGAACACCTGAGGAATGATACCTGAGGTTGACCTCTGACCCTCTCCCAAGACAAGCCCTCCACCTCTAACTCCCAGACGGAGCCTCTCAGAATGGAAAGAAGTCATTCACTTTCTTCATCCCTTCAGGGCCTCAACTATGCCTTATAGCACTCAGAGCAAGACGAATAGTCCAGGGATAGCCATGGCTTCTCATGGGTGGTAGAGGGCAGCGCCACCTGACGGTGTTTACTATCTTGAACTAATGATGCTGCCTGCCATGTGTTTGTTACTGTCCTATATGAAGACGGAATTTAAAGGAACGAAGTATCTGAGACTGGGGAAGTGGCATGGCTTAAATACTTCCATCAAATTACTTCAACAGGGAAGAAATGGAATAACATGCTTCTCCTACTCAAAAATAAAAGGTAGAAGAGAAATGGCTTCTCCACACTGTGCCCTCTCTGTTGGGAATGCTGCAGGTCAGGTGACCAGGACAGCTGACTCAGATAGAAACTCACTCTTCATGAAGCTCCCCGGAGCAGAGGCCTCTCTCCATCCCTTCAGACTTCCCAGAAGAGGGGCACAGGAGGAGTGAGTAGGAGATACACAAATAGTCTGCAGCTAACCCCTGACCTCAATTTTATTGATATTAGACCAGAGAGCTAAGGAGCTGTGATTTTAACAGCATTACTCCAGTCTCTGTTTCAGAGATTGGTATCAGTGTGACATTTAGAACTAAAGATTAATATTTAGAGATGGAGATTACACATTGGAGTCTGTCAACCATGACTGTGTTCTTTCAAATGAGAAGATTTATTTCCATCTCTGTCTGTGTGTTCAAATGTCCCACAAAAGGGAGGTGAAAGAGTGAGGGGCCCCAGACCCACCCTCCAAATCCTCACATTTACAAATCCAATAACAGCGTTTAAACTCTTACCTAGAGAATTTCTAGAAAACTCCATGTGTCAGGGTTCCTCCCTTCCTTACTACCTTCTCAGCAGGGCATAGCCACCTGCCCCCCACCCCCATCTGCCCAGCACTATATAAAGTGCTAGCCCAAAGCTGCCCTCCTTTGCAAGGCTCTTCCTCACAGCTCTGTTGGCAGGATGCTATCCCACCCAGCACACCACGTAACTGAAGGTGGCCCACACAAGTACTCTGAAATGCAAATGGGCTTTGCCTCTTTAAAGACCTACACTGAGAAGAGCAGTGGTGGTGCACACCTTTAGTCCCAGCATTGGAGCAGAGGCAGGCAGGTCTCTGAGTTCAAGGCTAGCCTGGTCTACAGAGTGAGTTCCAAGACATACAGAGCTATAAGAGAAACCTTGTTTCAGGAAGAAAAGAAGAAGGAAATATATATATACTAAAAATTTCAAGCTAAAAACATAAAGACCCAGACTACTGCCTATTCAATATTTTACAACCCAAGTCAAATTGAGAATCAAAGGCTTCTAAAAAGGCAGTGTTATTAGTACTCCCAGGCTAACAACAGATCGCAGAACTGACGCACCAGGGAACCTCCTCAAGTTGCTTGATTCAGAAGACCACAAAGGAGCAAAGCCACTGGACTTCCTCATGGCAGGCAGGGCTCCTCTATGACTCCACCTCAGTCCTGGGAGAACACCATGTGTGTGTTTACAGACTGGTACGGTAAAGGACAGAAACAGGCACCTGGGAAGGGAAGGCTCAGGCTTCCACAGACCATGTCTGGAAAGAACTTCCTAGTATGAGTGGCACAGTCAGCCTCACCTGGCGCCCATGAACATGGACACAAATCCTCTTGCGTAGGACCAGCTGCATGTCGGCAGGATGGCTGAGCTGGACTGTCACTCGCAGAATGAGGAACACTCGTTCGTCAGCAGGTGTACCTTTACTGAGCTGAGGACAGCTGTGCACTGCAGAGTCCCAGGAGGCCTCTGCCTTCACCTGCAGAGAAGGTAAGACAGCTCTTCACTTTCTTCTCCAAGGCCATGTCAACTCTCTTGAGAATGCCATGTAGCTTGAGTGAAGGGTCCCTTTCGAGAACTGCCCGGACGTGTTGACAGGATGTGAGCATGTGGCTGTTGTCATGTGAGGTTGCAAAGTATTTGGCATGGTATCTGTGCTGGTACTTATATGCTCATATACTGGAATGGCCCCTACAGGCTCATATATTTGAATATTTGGTTCCTAGTTGGTGGACTGTTTAGAAAGGATCAGGAAGTGTGGCTTTGTTGGACATTTGGCACTAGAGGTGGGTCTGAGGTTTCAAAAGCCCATGCCAGGCCCAGCTTCTGCTCTGTTCATTCACCCTCTTTCCCTGTCTCTTTCTCCCTCTCCATCTCCCTCTCCCCATCCCATTGTGGTCCAGGATGTAAGCTCTCGGCTACTATTCCAGCGCCATGCCTGTCTGCCTACTGCCACACTCCCCACTATGATGATTAAGGGATAATCCTCCAAAACTGTAAAGCAAGCTTCTCAATTAAATGTTTTCTTTTATAAGTTGCCTTGGGCATGTCTTTTCACAGCAATAAGACGGTAACTAAGACAGTACTTTATTAGCCTACTTGCCGTTAAATGATATGTTTTTTTAAAAATATTTAAATATCAAGAAAGCTTGAAAAACTTCAGCACTGTGAAGCCACTTGTCTATTTTAATCTGCACTCCATCACTTTCAAGTAAATTGCAGTTAAGTGTCACATCCAGGAAACTGACAGGATGGTATCCTGATTTGGTTTTGTCCATGTTCTTAGTCCACAATTACAAACTGCAGAAACTGCCAAGGCCCCACAGTCTACTTTTACATAGACTGATCCCAGGCCTGTCTTGTAACATCTAGCACAAACAGGTTCAGGGCTAAGGAAGGGCACGGTGTGAACAAGGGGAACAGGGCTAATACCCAAAGTTGATATCCCAGGTCGTCTCTGAGTTTCTTAGATACTGTACTGCTGATATCATATGTCAAGCATATTCAAAATTAGGAAATAAAGCCCCAGGACTATGCTCATCACACAGATTCAACCATGAGATCCTGAGTCTGTCTCAATGCCTTCATTTTTCTTTTGCCTTTAAAAAAAAAAAAAAGATTTTATTTTATTTATATGAGTACACTATAGCTCTCTTCAGACACACCAGAAGAGGGCATTGGATCCTATTATAGTTGGTTGTGAGCCACCATGTGGTTGCTGAGAATTGAACTCAGGACCCTGGAAGAGCCATCTCTCCAGTCTTCTTTTTGTTTTTTGTTTTGTTTTGTTTTGGTTTTTGTTGTTGTTGTTTTTCTTTTTTGGTCTTTTTTTTTTATTCAAGAAAAGACCTTGCTATGTAGCTCATGCTGGTTTTGAATTCACATCCTCATGCCTCAGCCTCCTAAGTGCCAGCACTATAGATGTGTACCACTAGGCCTTTCTTTTTCTTCTCTTAAAGAACTCTTAGGTCAGGCATGGTGTTCTATACCTTTAACCCTGGAACTTGGGAGGCAAAGGTAGTAGATCTCTGCGAGTCTGAGGTCAGTCTATTGTACTTAGCCAATTCTAAGCCAGCCAGAGCTACATAGTGAGGCTCTGTAATAAAGAAAAGTTCTTATGAAGGAACTGCAGAGCAAATACCAAAGTCAGTGTCCTTCCAGCCTGGAGCTCTATGTACTTCAAAGCAATCGACAGCCACCTCTCTTCCAATCAGAGTTAGGGATAGAGTACAGCCACAGCCAGTGGATGCTGTCCACACCAACATGAGTCCCTCACCAAGAAAGGAAGGGAGAAGGTAGAGGGAACCAGGTGTGAGGGTCAAGCTTCACTAAGTACTGATAGAGTTTTCCCTTATACTGTGGAAGCCACTCTCTAGCTGACATCTAGGCTCCTGGCAGGGCTTATGCTGACTTACCTCTCCATCGTGTTGTTTCACAATCTGCAGCTCAAAGAACTCCTCCTCCTCTTCCCCAGTCAGGGTAGCATCCCATCCGGCTTCTGGGTCATCAAGATTATCCTGAGAGCTGAAATCATCCGCTGAAAGCAGAGCTTTCATTTAACACCAGGCTGTTTTCAAGGACACCCCTCCTCCCAACCCCCTCTGGATGAACCAACGCACTTATTATTAAAATTCTTCTGCTTCAAACTTCACTTGCTTTCTGCCCTGCAATCTCACATGACACTGATAATAACCATTTAATAGTTCACAGATTCAAAAGCCAGAAAGTGCTTCAAGAAATTACCCAAGCTGTTCCCCGTGTGTCATATTTTACATGGAAGGCAAACGAAGCCAAGATACCTAAGAGGTTATGAGAGGTCTGCTCATAAATGGTAATGATGGGATCACAGCCCAATCTCCCCACCCTTTAGTGCACTTAAGAAACAAGAAGAAAGCGAGAGCAATTCCTCAGTTAAGCCTAACAAAAGTGCAGACTGGCTAATGGAGCTGGCAACTGCACAGGGCCCTGTGGTCACTCGGCCGAGCCTGACTTCCCAGTGCCCCATCTACCTTAGGCTTGTGCCTTCAAAGCAAAGTAGGTGTTCTTGTGTAGCCCACTACTAATGTGGAGTACTGAACAAAGTTCTGACTGTCTCTTCAGAGTCCCAGGCTAACGTGGTATATCTACACAATGGACTTTTATTCAGCCATAAAGAAATGACTTCTTGTCATTTCCAAGAAAATGAATGGATCAAGAGACCATCATGTTACGTGAAATAAGCCAAACACAGCAAGACATATATCTTTTCCCCATAACAGGGTAAAAGGAAAAAACATGGGGACGGGGGCAGGAATCGTCTTAATGGGAAGAAGGAAGAGGAGAGAAGGACAGTAGTTGGGGAGAAACACACAAATGCTACATTCTCTCTCATTTACAAATCTAAATCTGTCTATCGATCTGCCTACATGGCGTGACTGTGGGAGAATGACTTGGCTGAAGAAAGGGACCCATGAAAAGTGTACAGCAGAGACAGGAGAACACACTGAGAGGGTACATAGAAGGAAAGCAAAATGTATGTACACATGAAAATGTCATGGTGACATCCAGTACTTTGTATATTTACAAAAACATTCTAACTGGGGAAGAAAACAAATGCACAACTAAGAAATCTTACTGACCTTCAATCCTCCCCAATCTCTTGGAGGCCTGCCTTTCAGCTGTCCAGGAAACCCAACACGAGAGCAGGCCAGAGTATCTCAGCCTCCAAGGCTCAAGAGCACAAGGTAGACAGTGTCCTGTGACAGCTCTGGAAGAACTCTCACCTCCCAGGGTGGACAGAACAGCTGGTGTGGGTGACCCATTTCTCTCTAACCTGTGCACATTCAAGAGCTCAGGGCCACCAGATGCTGGGCCCCTCAAGCATTCTAACACACTTTACTCAGTGAAGGGAACCACTGAGGACACCCAGGCTTCTCTATTTAGGGAAGTCTGTGTTAATACACACTTCTGCAGGTGTTTCATGGAGCTTAACTGCTGACTTCTTATTTTTAGCTCTCTAACCTACCTCTGAATTTTCTATTTTCCCTCCTATAGACAAGAGACTGGTGAAACGGGTGTGCGGGGGTTGGGGAAAAACAACAGTTATGTAAAAAGAAAAATAAGCAAGTAAGGTTAACTTCACAGGAACTCACAAAAAAGCTGAGAAAGTCATTAAACAATGCTAAGAAAACACAGTATCCCTAGTTGTTGGTTCTTTCCACATAGACATTTTCTTTGGAGCATTGAAGTAAAACATCAGTGTGGAAAAATACCCTACATTGGTAGGGAAATAAAGCACTCTCAGAGAAGCAGGGCTGCCACATGGAGATGTGAGCATCACTGCCATAGCTGCTCTGCTGGGCTGTAGTTCAGTGGTAGTCGAGCATGTGTGAGGCCCTAGGGATGGAAAGAGATGGACAGAAAGGGGAGAAAAGGTGGGAGGTTGCACACCACACCAAGATCGATATTGAGATGGACGGTCCTTGTCCAGCATCAGAATACCACACAGAGCACTGAGCCTAAATCAGAATGACTGCAACCAGAAATATGATTAGCTAGATATATAAAGAGTTACCCTGTCGCTGCTTTATCAAGGTAAGCGTCTGAAAGCTACTTCTAACTTACCATTTAAGTCAAGAAATATAACAGGAATGTGGGTCTCCATCCCAGGTACTGGGGTCCTAAAACATGAAGAACAGGTTATGTATGGTATCCAAGACACAGCAGTCTCTCAGGATCACATGTGTCCTCAGGGGACAATGGCCTGAGCAATGATGTCCCTCTAAGATGGTGAGACAAGGTTCATGAGTGACTGCAGGACCCCTCCAGTGCTGGGATATGGAGCTCGCTTACAGACTCACTCACCAGCTCACCAGCAGCCTGTCTAAAACTTTCTTTCTTGTCAAATGACATACTTAAGGGATCCTGTGGCTTAACTTGCTTTCCTATCTTTAATTTCAGTCAAGTGTCAGAGAACATTTGCTGACAGCACAGCTTAAGCACCAAAACCAAAAACTGGTTGAGATGCAGTTTTCTAACTACATAATGACCTAACATTCTTTTAAGGGAACAAATGATCCAAGTAATTAACATATTAACTATTTTTTAATGCTAAGTGCAGTGGTACTAAATATTGATTTAAGTTCTCAGAAATCCTAATTACCTTGGCTAATAACAATATTATTTAATAAAACGGTTTCAAGTCATAGTCATGTCCAACTCATGGAAATAATTTAACAGTTTTTCAATATCTCTGTTCTCATTATGAAACATCCATTCATTAATTGCAGCACTGCAAAACACAAGTGGGAAGTAAAGTGCCTGGTCATCCCTGGGGGTTTCAGAAGACATACTGTAGGACCTTACCATTCTGCTGGTGCCCCCGGAATGCCACTCCCAGCAGAGGGCACCATCACCGCATTTCTTTCCTCTGTGAGCGTCAGCCGCATCTCCAGGAGCTGTGCCTCTCGGTCAGCATCATCCTCAGTTTTGTCTAGAAGAGCAGAATTAGGGTCTAGCAACTCTGCTTGCTGCTCCCGCATTTAGACAGATTACTGCATGGGGGGGGGGGGGTTACTGTGTGAGTATATGTGCATGAAGTGGGTGGAGGGAGGAAGGGAGGGAGGGAGGGAGGGGTTGGGAGCCGACTCCTAGCTGAAAGCAGCTATCATCTTTGCAGCCATCTCAGGCCATATATCCTGACAAGAGACTTGTTTTCAACAGCCCGAATCAGTTGAGCACACTCTGATAAACATCTTGTTTTTCTCACATATCTTGTTTTGCTGTTTAGTGCCACCAGCTGCAAGGCACACATGGTCTCCATGCTGCTAGGTGCACGTGGTCTCCTCACTGCTAGCTAGGCGCACGTGATATCCACACTGCAAGGCACATGACGTAGTGCCTTCAGCTGTGCTTGTCCACGAGGGAAAGGTACGTGGTAAAGGGTATAAATACCCAGGCTTTCCTTCCAATAAAGAGACTTGAGAGACTTGATCAGACTCCCTGTCTTGTCTCCATTCTTTGTGTCTCGGCTACAGGGAGGGAGGGAGGGAGGGAGGAAGGGACGGACGGAGGGAGGGAGGGAGGGAGGGAGGGAGGGAGGGAGGGAGGGGAGAAGGCGAAGGAGAGAGGGAGTTCTGCAAGAGCAGTTCAGTGTTCTTAACCATTTCTTCAGCCTGTTTCCACATTGTCTTTGAGTAAATGGGAACTTGCAGAGGCTTCTTACAGCAGCCCACAGAGCTGGTGCAGGCTCTGATAGTCTGGCGAAGCTTCTAAGTTCCCAGTACCTCCAACAAGAAACATCTGTACTTTTCGCCCAGTTACTTTTTTAATATATATAGATGTTTTGCCTATATGTATGTCTGTGCCCTGTCCTCAGAAGGAAGTACAAGAAGACATCATTACAACCAAGTAAGTGTTCTTTGAAAGGCTATGCCCCACACCAAGAACAGGCATCCATTCAAACCAACACATTTATTGGGCCCTCAGCTGGTTACATGAGGGCTACTGACACTCCACTGTACAGCTATGAGGAGGGAAAGGTCCAGCTTCTCTTCCTACCATGTTTACTGACAAGCTTCTGCAGTTGTTGATCCAAGTATTCTTGACGTTTGGTTAATGCATTGAGCCATTTTCTACGAAGCCGCTCTAAATCCCGATCCTGGAAGAAAACAAAGGAAGCCACAATCAATGCAATATCCAGGCAACACACTTAAACTAGACACTCTCCAAATTAACCTTACTCTCCTAACTCCAAGACATAAGCAGCATGCAACAATTGCCTTTTTTCTCCTCCTCCTCCTCCTCCTCCTCCTCCTCCTCCTCCTTCTTCTTTTCTTTTTTAAAGACAATGTCTCATAAAACCCAGACTGGCCTGGAACTCATTCACTATGGAGCTAAAGATGACCTTCAACCTCACGAGTCTCTGTTCCCACCTAAGAGTGCTGGGATGCTCACAGGCTTCTGTCACCATGCCCAGCATAACTGGGACATGAAACCTGAATACAAGGCAAGCAGTCTACCACCTGAGCTCTGGGCCAGCACAGCATGAAGTGCCAACAAGTAATTCAGATCACAACTCCTAGAACAGGAAGCATTAGTGGACTCTAGAGTGGACAGGTGCTCTTAACTCCACCCATGAGAAACAACATCTTCTATGAGGTTGCCTGGATGGACAAGACTCATAAACTGTACTTAACAAGCTTCAAATATTTACTCTTCAGAACTACCAGTAAGAATCCTTTAAGTTTCTAGTCACCTCCAACAGCACATGCTTATACTCCTTGAACGTATTTGGGAGGTGGCAGTGGGCAAGACCACAGGGGTTGTTACTGACAGACTGAACCCCACCAGTCAACACCTGCCAGCACGCCAACCTGACCTCATTTCCTTTAGTAACATGGTTAGGGGGCTGGTGGTTCAGAGGAATGCTGCAGATGTCAAGTGTCTGGATTTCAACAGGGCACTTAACCAAATAGCCTATGACACTCCCGTGGACAAGATGGAGAAACATGCTGTGCATCTACTCTAAGTGCAGTCACAGAGGGCTCAGACACACACCCAGAAAGCAGTGATCAATGGGATAATGTCTGGTTAAAAGAAGACTCATTCTCTGAGTTCAACCCAGCTGATATGCTGAGGTATTTTTCTTGCTGCCTTTTTTTTTTTCTTAATCAGTGACTTATAGGAAGACAGACATTTCTATCAAATTAGGATGATGCAAAGCCAGGAAAGTGACTACAGCAGATGACATAATCAGGCTCCAAAGAGCCTGGGCAGTCCTAAATGATGACAACAAGATGCAACTTCACAGACATAAACAAAATCTGGCACATTAGGGAAAGAAACAACAGGGGGAACAAAACCTCCAAAACTAATGGACAACTCAAGGAAGGGGGAATTCAGGGTGACCTGGTCTGAAACACATGTAAGACATAGAAATAGATGTGTGTACACACACACAGACACCCCCCACACACACACACACCTGCATCCCCAGCTCAAGGAGAGCCCAGGCAAGGAAGCTGGGAGGTAGCTGTGTAAAACAGCCCAAAGCAGTGTCCCTGATTAGGAAAGGACTTTGTCACAGGGCATCCTACTCCTAGCCCATGAACCCCCCACAATACAAAACATTCCATACTTTGTTTAACTTTGAGGAAAAGCAGAATTGTTTAATTATCAAGTAGCAGTGCAGAAAGATCCTGGCCTGTGTAATTAAGTACTTGAATCAAGCTGATTTGATAAGGCCAACAGGTGCTCAATTACCTGGTAGCTGTCCATGTCCTCCTCTTCCTCCTAAAAGAAAACAGCAAATTATATAGACCCAAAACAATTATGTACCCACAAATCAGGCCTCCACAACCATAATCTTCTCCCACAGTTCCTGTCTTCTTGTCTAACTGATACATCACACCTTGGCCTCCCACCCAGCCTCACCAGGCCTCCCATGTCAGGAAGCTAGTAAGACTAGGAGCTTCTAGGGGAAAGTGAAGAGGCTCCCCTGACCTTTTCAGAGTCAGTACAATGCTCTCCCTGCTGGGCTTACCACCACCCCCTACTCCAGGGGAAATCAAACACCTGCTGGCACAGAGTCTTTACCAGCCAGTGGGGGGTTCTTTAGAGGGGTGGGCCAAGGGAGGAAGTTAATCACTGCTAGGCTTGGTGGCTTGCCAGGCTGAGAGGTTTTAACTCTCAGTTCACCACACACCAGGACAACAGCCTAGTACAAGGGGCTCCTGACAAGACAGTGCACTGAAGGAGACACCAATAGTAGGCAGGGGCAGCAATGTCTCAAAAGATTCTGCTCTGCTGCTTCCTTTCAAAAAGCAGAGCAGGCTCAGAAACTTACATGAACGTTCTCATGGATCTTAGGGGACCTGAGTGGTCTAACTTTGACACACCCAATGCCAACTGACAATATGCACTCCTCCATCAGTGGCAAAGTCCCTGACTCCTGCACAGACTTCACTTCAACTTGAACTCGCCGAGACTGCCCCTGCAGCACAGAGATTTGGAAACATACACACGCACACACACACACACACACACACACACACACACAAAAATCAGCAACTTCTTGAGTTTCAAAACTCTGGTTTAGAGAGACCCCTACAGGCTGAAATAAAAAACGCTTGACTTTAGATACATTCATCTATCTCATAACTGTTAAGTTCTAAAGCATTAATTCTAAGCTAGTCAGGAAAATGTATTTAACTTCAAACAGATATAAAACAAAATGAGCATTTTTATAATTCCTAAATAATAAGAAACGAAAAACAAATATGTTTTAATGAACGATAGGGGCTTGCTATGTAGCTCTGGCTGATACAGTACTCTAATTTTGAGTTCAAGGCAATCCTCCTGGCTCAGCCTGCCAAATGCTGGCACTGGCATGTGACAGGACACCCAGGTAAATGAAAACTAACAAGCAAAGTAAATGCAGTATCTAATAAAAAATGTTCAACTGAGTCAGGTATGGTGGTTCACATTGTAACTTTAGCACTCCAGAGACAGGCAGGGAGATCTCTGTGTTCAAGGCTATCCTGGGCTGCCTAAGAATTCTAGGCTATCCTGGGTTACATAGAGTTCTGGGGATACCTAAGGAGACCTAGACTGAAAAAAGGCCAACTTTCAGACAAAGTAACTATGAGAGCTTTTATTTCAACCTGCTAAGCTAGAAATTACTTCCAATAGAGATCAAGATTTATGAAACAGATAGTATCAATCCTGTGAGACAGGAATTTAAACTGGTCAGGCTTGTTCTAGGGCTAGGTTAACTTCAAACTGTAAGCAACCTTTGCCCCGGCAATTCAGCAATGAAGTACATGGATAAGTACTCTGAAGTGCTGTGAAGAACAAAATAGTGACCTATATCTAATGTGGAATGCCGACAACTGTTTAAAGTGTGACATCCTGTACCAGTCACTAAGCGACTAGTGCAGAAAAACACTTGCAGCCTATGTTAAAGTGTGGGGTACCAAAGTCAGTATTCAGTCTTGTTTTAAAAATAAGAACTGCCAGGCAGTGGTGATGCACACCTTTAATCTCAGGTGATTGTGAGCCATGTGACCTGGGCACTGGGAACCAAACTTGAGAGCTGGCACAGAGGAAAGTATTCTTGATCACTGAGCCATCTCTCCAGCCCCCTAGTATTATATCCTAAAGTATGAAAACTCTAGATAACAGCCTACTAGATTTTTGAAATGAGACATACAGTTGTAAAAAGAGTACTTCCAATTATTTGTACCAATTACACTGATATTTTCCACGCTCTGTAATATGTGACATAAAAGCACGGAAGGATCAGCAAGAGGAGGGTATGTGGGCATGTACAGAAAACCTTCACGATGAAGACTGTTACTTTTCGTAAAGAAACAGATTACGTATGGAGACCTGCCCTGTCACTGTCGGTCAGCAGCATAAACTGACAGATGGCCACTCACCTGGGCAATCGATGAGGGCTCCATAGTCTATCCTGCATGGACACACACACTTAACACCTGCCATGTGTCAAGCTTTATACAACACTCTCCTAATTCTCACCCAAATCCACGATGCTCCAGGTGAAAGAGCTCACAAGTACACTGCTAGGACTCTGAAGGGCCAGCAGTGAGCGGGCAGTCCTCCCCTGTACATTCAGTGCTCTCTGCTGCTTTGAACTGCTTCTCTCATGTTCATGAGCACATGAAGCTGCCTGGTATGTCTGCCTTAAGTCCCACTCTTTAATTCTAAGTTTTCCTTGAACACTTCTTGTTTTTAACCCAACAAGGCTCAACCAGTAAAGGTGCTTGCTTCAAGCCTGATGACCTGAGTTCAATTCTCAAGGCCCAAACAGCAGAGAGAAAGCTCTTTTCCAAATTGTCCTCTGACCTGCACTGTGTCTTGTGGCATACAAACTCACACGTATACAGACATATATATACAAAACAATAAAATATTTTTCAAAAGGCTTATTTTTAACCCTTTTAGAAACTACTTTTAAACATCATTAAGTAGTAAGATTTTGACAATAGAAGAAAATGTACATAAGAGACAATTTTTATATAAGAAATGGGATTGAAATGAAAATTAAAACCTAGAAAGGGGCCAGGGAGATGGCAAAGTAAAGGATCTTACCGCCATCACCTAACATCCTTATTTCAAACTCCAGGACTATATGTTGAAGGAAAAGAGAAAACCAAGTCTCACAAGCTGTCCTCTGACTTCTACATGTGCACAGTGTCATACACCTACCCACAAACATACACAATAGATAAATAAACATCATACATTTAGCTATTTCAAAATAAATGGGCTTGACCATTTTACATTTCATCATTATTGAAAGTTCTGTTCAAAAGAATCCAGTATAAGCCATCTAGTATCAAGGAATTTACTATGATGTCACAATGTTGGTACCTGTCGGAGCTGGAAGATCCCTCCTGTTGGGACATCTTTTGCAGCAATTACTTCTACAGGACAGTAATCACCATTCTCATTCTGTTCCAATATCTGAACCCAAAATTCCAACTTTCTGGTGACTTCACTCCACCTAGGAAACATATGCAGGTCTTAAGAAATTACCCTTCTAATTTTAGGCAGGGTTTCATATATACCAGGTTGTGCTCAAACTCAATATACAGTCAAAGGCACTCTTTAGCTTTCAATATTCCTGCCTCTTTCTTCTGAGATTCCAAGTGTGTATCAACATACTCAATTTATGCAGTACTATGAACCAAACCCAGGGCTTCATGCATGCTAGGTAAGCACCCTGCCAATTGAGTTACCTCCCCAGTCCCTAAACCATGCCTCCCTACTTCAATACAGACAGCTTAAGACCTTCTATTCTTAACAGTGAGAATGAATGTAAACAAAGAAGCCCAGTGAACACAATGGCAAATAACGTGTACCGAAAGTCAAACTGACAAAATCAGTCTAGGAAGGTTCTTCATTTTTCCATTGTTTCCAGTTTTGAGGACTGAATCCAGGCGGCCTTCATGTGCTGAGCAAATGCTCTACCACTGAGCTATACCTCACTTGCACTTTTATTTTGTTTAGAAGATTACGTGGGGTTAGAACAATGGCTCAGAATTCAAACCCACATAAACATGCGTGCATGTGCGTGTGTGCGCACACACATATACAGACGAGGGAGAGAGAACAGTCATGGTGGGGAGCGTCATGACAAATACATTTGAAAATGGTTGACCAATGATTGAAATATTCTCGTCAGTACTCAGAAGCCAAACACAGGATACTCTTCACATAGGAAGGTGTCATTCATGAGTTGAGAAGGATGTGCTCTCAGGTCAATTAATAAGAAAATTAAGAATAAAAATCTCACCTTCTAATTTAGGATTTGCTAAAAGAGAAAATCTGGTTCTCATCTATAATTAAATAGCAGCAAAAACATCGCCTCTTTGAGTCATTCCCTTTGAACTCACTTATGCCATCAAATGAGCTACCTCCTCCCATCGCTGATGGCACTCAAAGCTGGAAAGGGCTGGGGATGCAGAACTGTGCAGCACTTGCCTAGCATTCGAGAGGCCCTGGGTTCAAACATCAGCAGCACAAAGTCAAACAAGTGACCAACAACAAACACCTGTGAGCTAGAGACAGTGTCCACATGAATGCTACCATAGATTGCCATCTGTCATCTGTGGTCAGTGACCTTTCTCCTGAACTTCATTTCGCTGTTGCTAATAAACGCCCACATGCTTTCTTCCACTGTTCTATAAAGTTCGGTGCTCTAAGGAAGTTTTACTGGTAGACTACAGCCCTAGAACGGTGACACTTGGAAAAAGGTGACCATTAATTCATAAAAAATAATGGTCCTGATTCAATAGTTAAAATGCTAGCTGCACAAGCATGAGGATCCACTAGAGTCTAGAACACACATAACTGCTGGATGGATCAATGCCTGCCTATAATTACAGCTCTAAGCATACAGACACAGGATCCCCAGAGCAAGCTAGCTAACCAGACTAGACCTACTGAGCTCTGAGTTTGAATGAGGGGCCTTCTGCATTAATGAATAAGGTGAAGAGTGACTGAAGAAAACATTTCATGTCACATTTGACCCCCATAGACACTAGCCCACACCCACACTCCCACTCATGCAAACATTTATGCACACATGTACATACCACATATACACAAGGGAAAGCAAAATAATTTCAAAATAAATGACGGTCATTTCCAGCAGTATTTTTAAATCTAGAAATATGAATACAATAAATATCAAAAATTCACCAATCGGGGCTAGTGAAATGGTTCAATGGTTAAGAGCATTGGCTGCTCTTCCAGAAGTCCTGCATTCAATTCCCTGCCACTCCATGGTGGCTCAAGACCATCTGTAAAGGGATCTGATGCCCTCTTCTGGCATGCAGGTATACATGCAGACAGAGCATTGCTACATTAAAAATTAATTAATGATTTAGCTAATTAATTTCAAAAGATTCACCTGTCCCGAAGACTCCTTGTTTTTGCTTGGATGATTCCCAAATCCCACAGGGCTGGGTTTTTCCGGGGATCATTCATTTTATGTCCATATACTTCAATAGCCAGGGCCCCTTCTGAGAGATATTCAATGAAGTCTTCTGTGATGTTAACACTGAACTCCTGAAACACAACAGCTTATTACAGAGCAGCACACACTTGCTTGGTCTTGTGACCATTTAAAACAGGTGTCACATCCTTAATTTTACAAGGTAGGAAGAAGACAGAAACAGTGGCATACTTTCCTCATAGAACAGATGGTCATTTAACAGATTAATACTCTTGCTTTCATAAATAATATGGCTCTGAAAGGGTCTGGAGAGATGGCTCCAAGCTTAAGACTGAGCACTGCTCTTCCAGAGAACCCACATCTGGTGACTTAGAACCGCCTATCTGACTCCAGATCCAGGAGACTAATGCTATTTGCCTCTGTGGGCACCTGAACTCATGTGTACAACACACCCATAAAGAAACACATGATTCAAAAAAAATTAATCTTTTAAAATAAAAAATACACAAACATAGCTATTACTTTGAACTTTAAAGCTTCTCACTTTGAAAAACTAGTCTATAAAAATAGCAAATTATTTTGTTTTCTTAGCAATGTTTTGGAAGCCTGTTTTCATTTTTGTTGTGGGTCAAAAATAGCAAAAGCCAGTCCAAACTCTGATAGTATCCAGCCAAAGGCTAAGTGAGAGTTACTACTTTTAATTTATTCAGCCCACAAAAACATCATCATTAATAATAACAGGTCAGGAGCAGCCAAAAAAGTAACCAACCAACATGGGAGAACATGGCATGCCCAGCAGGGTGGCCTCTGGTCTTGTTACTGCCTTCATTTTCACTAAAACATTAGGCTCTTAACCTTTTTATAAAAGAGACTCCCTCTGGAGAAGAGTGTTCATACATACATGTACACAAGCTTGTTTTTCTTTGAACAGAAGTAAACTCTTGACTGTGGACATGCTGAATGAACTCACACTTTGGTCTAGGACTAGAAAACTCCCCAACATGAATCCTGGCACAACCATCCAAGATACAGCATTCACTCTTTAGCTGTGTTTACATGAGTAACTTCAACACCAAGGCAGACTGAAAAGAACTCACACTGCAATGATCGAACACAACCATACACTGTGGCTCCTTGCTGGTGGGAGACGAAGATGTATCCACTTCGGGGGCTACAGTCACTGGCTCCTGCTGATCCCAGAAGTCATATTTGCAGAAGACAAAGTGGCACAGATGCTGCGGCAACCCTGTGGCTTGGAGTATTTTAACCTGAAAGGAAAGAAGGCTCCAAGGAGTACTTAATGTAGGTCCTGCCTTGACTCCGTCACAACCACTCACCTATGTGAGGCATATCTCATTCAGTGTGGGCGCAGGACACAGGCCTGACAGAGGGTGACAACAAGCAGATACCAGGGTGGATTCTGGGCAGCACTTAGAAGCTGACAAGAGCATTTGAATCCTAGTTAGTCAGAATGTAGGATACCATCATCACTACTGCAGAAGAAGGTTCTGGAAATCAACATTACCCAACATTTCATAAGGAATTCACAAAGCCATTCAGCACAATGAGCAAAGCACAAAACCATCTCTGAGTAGATAAGCAGCAAACCTCAGGAGAGGACAGCCACTTACTCTATCATAGGGTAAGTATAAGAAGGAGCTCAGTCTTGAAACAGAAATGCTGTGTGCTACGATCATATCACTTTGTTTTTATTTTACTCCTATAGGGAATTTCACTGAGTGTGTGGAGGGGAGAACAGAGGAGGTGAAGACCACAGAGTTTCTGTTTTCTACACTGACATTTATCCTCTCCCTGGAGAATGACAGAAAACACTTAAAGGAAGCTCTGGATGAGAGGATCCTAGAGTCTGTGATTACAAAGTATGGCCACAAGCACATGCTCAATAGGACCAACACCCCAGAGAAAATACCTGCATCAGAGCTCCTTTAAAAAAAGATTTTATTAATTTAACTATATGGATGTGTGTACTGTGTGAGAGTGTATACAGGTTCTTGTGAAGTCCAAAAGAAGGTATCTGATCCCCTGGTGGAGTCAACAGGAAGTCATGAGCTGCCTGACATAGGTTCTCGGAACTGACCTCCAGTCCTTTAAAGAACAGCAAGTACTCTCAACCACTCTTAGCCGTCTCTCCAGCCCCACTTACACACTTACTTACAAACACACACACTCACACTCACACACACACATACACCCCTTGTGTGTGGGGGCAGGCGTCCTCACAAGGGGCATCGAACCCATTGGAGCTGGAGTTACAAGCAGTTGTGAGCTGGTATAAGTAGCTGGTAGAAACAGAACCAAGGTCCTCTGGAAGAGCAGCAAATGCTCTTAACCACTGAGCCATGCCTCCAGCTGCCCATAGTGATCTCAAAGCAGCCAAACATTCTTAAATACTTTTGGCAGCAGTATCTGGATCTCAATTTGGAGTTTCTGTGGTAGCTTGTGATGGTGTTAAATTACACATTACACACAATTATGAAGTAAATCCTAGAATTATTAGTTATACTACATCTTAATGGTATGTGTGCTGGCCACTCCTGGTTGTCAACTTGACGGCATCTGGAACTAACGAAAACTCAAATGGCTAGGTACACTTGTAAGGGATTTTTTTTTTCCTTAATTAATCAATTGAAGTGGGAAGACTTACTTCTCATCTGGATCTTTGAGGGAGAGAGATCCACTTTTAATCTGGGCCATCTAGTCTGCCCAGGAGGGTTTTCACACAACTGAGCTGGCCATAAGTTAACACTTTCCAGCTGCTCTCTTTTCCTAAGTCATCTGAATCACTTCGTATCTAGTAAATAAATTTAGTAAGAATAAATTGGACTGTGTGGTGTATATGTTCTCACAGTTACACAACCTCAACTATAACATGGCATTTAGGGACTCGGAGGACATAAAATCACGAAAAGCAGATTTCCTGAATAACAAGTCAACAATGAACATCAATGTCATTTTATGTCATTTCTTCCTGTTATATCAACAAGCTTGAACCACCCATGCAGGTAGGCTCTGAAAGGCTGATGTGCTTTCTCTCTCCACATCAAACTGACCATCAGTATTCTAGGCTATACTTTCCAGGAAAATTTTCAGACTCTCTACATGTCTAAAATATTTATTATATACCTTAAGTGAGGCAATGTGTTGTGGGGGATGATCACAAGGTCCTGCATTACACAGACCAAAAAGGATCCTTGTCACTTACTAGCCTGTGTGTGGTGTAAATTAAAGGCTTAAACTCAGCTTGCTCCAAGTTGAAAGGGAAGATTTAGGTCTGCCCTTAGAGAGCTGAGGCCTCAGTACTGAAAGCACCGAGATGAACGTCTGCTGAGCCAGGTGCTGCTGATCAGACATAACATGCATGCTGATTTGTGATGGAATTCCATCTGAAAGCAGTTAGCTTACAGAAATGAACCTCAGTCTAAGGCTGGAATAAACAAAAGGCAAGATCAGATGTGCTGACCTGCCCTCTACAGGAGCTCCTGAGGGCTGAGACTGCCAGGAATGAAGAACACCAGGAATGAGGAAAACATACCAAGCACATAGGCTGGTTTTGTTGTTGTTCTTGTTTTGGTTTGGGTTCTTGTTGTTGTTGTTGTTGTTGTTGTTGTTTTTTAATTTTACTACAAAAATTGAAACCACCACAAGGTGTCAGGATAGCACTTAACTTGCAGCTCAACATGAAGGAGCCAAAGTGAGCTGGCAGGAATTGATGGCACTTGGAGCTTTCAATATAATGCTTCTGAAAACAAAAATATGGGCATACTCCTTCATTACAGGAAAACGAATGCAGATGTCTGTATGGCCAGTGGTCTCCCTCTCTCACGGGACAGAAACTGTCCCCAGTTTGACTTTTCACAGGAGCTTCTCTTGACGTTATGTCTTGTCTGCCCATGTCTTTATACACAATGAGCCCCTACAGCTAGGGCTTGATCTCTAAGAAGTATGTGCAACTTAAATGAACACTGCTTCTTAAGAAATGGTGGATTCTGGATCCAGAAAAGGAAATGCATACAAGATGAGGCAAAATTTCTACTTTACCCGAAACCTATCGTGTCTGCAGAACTCGAGGGTCAACTGAAGGGACTGCCACCACTCAAATTTTGGAACACTGGAGATTTGATACAAGTAATGAATGCCCAGGATACAAAGACACATATATTAAATCTAAGAGTTCGTTATGACATGAAGACAACTTTAAAAACCAGTAATGTTGACAGAAAAACACACCACCACCTATGTCACACTTGCTTTCCTACTCTATGTCTACGGGGCATTATGGCTTGCTGCTCCCAACCTGGGTCTAATGCTTCTTAGCATGCCATGCAATGACAATGAACAGAGCAACAGGACAACACGGGTGCTCCAACAAACAGATTTCAAGGTGAGAGAGTACAGAATCTGGAGATAAAAGAAACCACCAAAGACACTTAAGAAAGCTGACTTCACAGTTTATGACCTTAAGGAATTACTATTTTGATTGACTGATTTTTTTCATTTTCTTTCCATTTTTTTTTTTTTTTTTTTTTTTTGGTTTTTCAAGACAGGATTTCTCGATGTAGCCCTGGCTGTCCTAGAACTCACTCTGTAGACCAGGCTGGCCCCAAACTCAGAGATCCACCAGCCTCTGCCTCCCAAATCCTGGGATAAGGCTGAATGCCACCACTACTGGGAATCATTCTCATTATTTTACACTGTGAAAGCTAATCTCCCAGAGATATAACCACTGTCTGTCATCTCAGAAATGACCACATAGATAGAGCCAGAAAGCTTACATCTCAACATCTGATGAGCAATCACATGACCTCAAGGAAGAAGTTCTGAAGCCGAGTACAAATGAGTAAGAGCGAGACTGGTAGTGAGTTAAGAACTGCCCCCTCCCACTGCAGGAGCTCATGTCTCAGAGCACTGCAGGCCTCCTCATCATGCAGACAGTTGCAGAAAGCAGCTCAGATCTCAACAGACTAGCTTCCCCCTTCCTATGGCTGTGTGCTAACTTACTCCTTTCAACAACCTCAACTGTAGAAATATTTACTGAGGAAGAAGATTGACCTAGGATGAGTCTAGAACCAAGAGCTGACCTAAGCTTCTTCACAGATCTTTTAATCATCTTGTTTAAATACTACAGACTCTTGATAATTTTGTCACCAAATCTTGTCAGGATTCTGAACTACTAGCAGCACTGGCCCACTAGAGGGCATCTGGAGATTCAGACAAGGACTGCACCATAAAGAGGGAGGAGGGAGGTACCAGGAATCATGAGATCCTCCATACTATTCACCCAGCAAACACCACAGCCCCTCTAAATCTGGTGTTAGCTGACACTCTCTCTTACAATCTCATCCTCCCAGAATATTCTTCAATCTCTCTTAGAACCTACCATCTGAATTTACAGCTTCTCTGTACACTAGGATATCTGGCAAGTGTTGTATCGAAGCAATGGATGATACATTAGAGGCTTCTGCTCATACCCACATATCTCTAGCAGGACAGCAGGAACCTGGCATTTTATTTTCAGCTCTACCCTGGTACCTGACATAGGTTTTCAACATAACACTCACAGTTTGCCATGAACAACAAGCACAGGAAGACCAGATAGAAAGGGCTGGGAACTGTTTGGTTTGAATGGCACATGCAAAGGCACTGAGTAACCAGGGAGGTACAGAGAAGCTAGGCCAGGTAAAAATGAAACTGCTAAGGGATAGGACCACAGAGAGGCACACACTGATCTTCAGCAGAAGTGGAGTGCTCTGGTAATGGAACACTCGTATGGGCCGGACAGGTAAGCAGCTCACTCACCCTGACTGCTGAGTGGCAGAGGAAGAGAGGACTGGCCCAAGGCCACAGAGAAAAAGTAGTGGAAATGTTAAATGAGTCTTTCCAGAAGCATGTCAAAACACAATTCCTAAAATACTGAACACTAAAAGACTTCTTTGAAGACAGGCATCTATAAGTTGTTGAAAATGAGTTTATTGTATAACCTACAATCTCAATGATGGTCCCACCTGGGCTCCTTCTAGAATAGCCTTTGGCTTACCATGCAGACCAGCCTGTTCTCCTGGGCTTCCTTTTCAGAGCTGCCCTCTGTAGGATCGTCTCCTCCTGCAATCCTCTCCCCAATGGCCCCGCTGAGTCGCATCACCTCCACATGCAGCCGGCCTGCCACCTGAAGAAGGAAGCAAAGCAAACGCTGGCTTCTAGGTTGAGTTCTTTCTCCCTGCCAGGACCTGTCTTCCTTGATAAAGCCAGAAGGTAACAATGTAGGAGACACTAAAGGGTGAGTTTCTAACAGCTACTTTGCAATCTGAGTAAAACAGGAACGTCCTCCTTATAGCCCTATGGAAACACATGGTGCCCATAAGACAAATACTTATCACTAGTCAGGATTGGTTAAAAAACAAAGGTATTAACAAAAAGCATCCTATCAGCACCCCTCACTGTCCCCTGAGCTGTCTGACGACTGAGGCAGTGATAGCCAACCTCTCCCTTCTGGTTGATGATTGGCACAGCATACTGTAACTTCACATCATAAAACAGGGTCTCCAGGAAGACATTGGCCACACCGATGAGACTATGATTTTCCTGCTCATCATAGAATGGGTCAGCACGCTTGAAGTAGGACCGGATAACCTAAAAGAGATTTCAAACATATAAATTCATAAGAAAAAAAAGAATCTCATAAAATAAATTCATTTTTGATTTGACCAACAACTTTTACCATTATATCCTCTTTTTTTTTTTTTGAGACTGGGTGTCGCTGCATGGCCTTGGTTGGTCTGGAAATCACTATACAGACCACAGTGATTGTCCTGAATTCACAAAGACTCTTCTGCCTCAGTGAATGAAAAGAAGGAGCTGAGAGCACTAACCTCTTCACTGACCTTTTAGGCAAGATCCTACTCAGTTGTTAAATGTACTACTGCAAATTAGGGCAGCAAGAACAGCAGCTGGACTTTTTTGGCACTAATTTTTTTTTTTAAGATTTATTTATTTACTTAATGTATATGAGTACACGATAGCTATCTTCAGACACACCAGAAGGGGGCATCAGATCCCATTACAGATGTCTGTGAGCCAGCATGTGGTTGCTGGGAATTGAACTCAGGACTTCTGGAAGAGCAGTCAGTGCTCTTAACTGCTGATCCATCTTTCCAGCCCATTTGGCATTCATTTTCACACCTATCTCTAAGTCAAAATAGGAGAGGAATACTCAAGAAAATTGTGAATTTAGGCAAAAATATCACCTAACCATAAAAAGTCATTTCTATTGATGATAATCTAAAAATGAATGAATGAATGAATGAATGAATGAATGAATGAATGAATGAAAAGGCTAAGGAAGAAAGCAACTCCATGTGGAAAGTGGACCAGCAGGATTGAGAACACTGGTATAGGTAGAAGGCTGTGGTAGTGTACCACCACGATCCCACCTGGCAACAGAGGAGCCAGCATCAGTACAGAGCCGGGCACTTACTTTGGGATCACAATGCCTTCAGAGACCTTCCTAGCAGTAGAAATACCAAGGTATACTGATGAATGTAAACCCATCAACTGCAGAGTAATTGTCTGCAGTCTGCTGAGAAGGCCTGCACCCTGCCTCAAAGCGAACACCAGGGCAAGCTGAGACAGACGCACTCACTAACAGATGGAAAGGGGAAATTCTGCTAGAATCCAAAGAGGAAAGAGTAGATACAAACGAAAATATGCACATGACCAACTATTAAACTACTTATATAGCTCAACAACTTAAGGTTTAAAATAAATTTTACTTTAAAACTAGAACAACAATCTTGGAAAAGCATTCAATGTCCCCAGAGCTGGGCAGATTCACTATGGTGTGGCTCCTTCTCTGACTACCAGGGAAGCGACTCTTCAGCAGCTTACCGGGCTGTCTTCTTCACATTCCTTCCATTCCTGGTAGAGGTCTCTCATATCCAAAAGCCTGTTTTCCAGCTTTTCCAAAGACCAAATCTGCTTTCCTTTCCCTTTTCTTCTCACCTGGATGGCAGGTTCACTGAGGAGAGAGCCTCGCTGCAAACAGGAGATGTCAACAAGGCAAAGTTAGCTGAGATAGTTATAAAACATTTTCCTTTTTCTTTCTTTTGAAACAGGGTCTCATGTAGCCTAGGCTAGCCTCAATCTCCTGATCTTCCTCTGTTCTTTGTTGCCTCTACTTCCTAAAGGCTGGAATTACAGGAGTGTACCATCACTCCAAACTAACAATTTTTTTTCAAGTGTGGGGTTTTTACTTCTCTCTCTCTCTCTCTCTCTCTCTCTCTGTGTGTGTGTGTGTGTGTGCCTGTCCGAGTGTGTGCACACACACATGAAGGTCAGAGATCATCTTGCAGGAGCTGGCTGGCATTCTCTTTCTAACTCTGATTGTCAATCTCAGTGGTGGACATGTTTTACCCAATGAGCCATCCTGCCATCTCCCAAACTGGTGATTTTTTTTTTTCATTTGCTTAAATGAATAGATTCTTAATGCTAAGAAAGTAAACTTTGGGTTGGAGAGATGGCTCAGTGGTAAAGAACACTGGCTGCCCTTCCAGAGGTTCTAGGTCCCTTCCCAGCACCCACATGGCAGCTTACAATCTGATGCCTTTTTCTGGTCTGCAGGCATACATATAGACAAAGCACCTGAATACATAAGAAAATAAATCTTTAAAAAAAAAAAAGTAAACTTTTAAGAGTAGCCACATAGAATGCCTTCAAGAGTAAATTATATAGGGTGCCCCAGTCACTCCTTTGAGGGCAAAACATGTCATAAGTTTCCTACTTTAAATGACTAGAAGGACAGACAATTGTGCAGAGCCAGGACAACACCGCCTATGAACTAAGTGCCACTACAGCACTCTTTCTAGACCAGTGTGGTGGAAATACTTACAATACTTCACTCAGGGGGTTGAGGCAGGAGGATGGAGAGTTCAAGACCAGCCTAAACTATTATTGTAAATTATAATTCAAAAATGCAAGAAGGTGTGGTAGCTCATACCTGTACTCCCAGAACTCGGGAGGCTAAGGCAGGAGGATTGCCTTGAATTTGAGGCCGTGTCACAATTAACAATGAAAAGCAGGTAGAAAGGATAGGCCCAAGGGGAGCAAGGAGTACTTGCCTAGCAGCTAGTAGACACACACAAGCATATACACACAGACACATGCAACTCAGAAAACAGAAGGAAATAGCTCCCACTAATCCAGACACAAGGGGTAGAGCCCAGTAGAGCCTCTGGAATGGCATTCCTGCTGTAGAGAAGATGGATACCTCACCTTCCTATTGGCATCCAGACTGGAGGCTGGAATCTGGAGGGTAACTTTATACTCAGTTCTTTTATCCAGCTCTTCTGCGATGTAACTAGCTTCCCGTACCAGCAGGTTGGCCTTTACAATCTGCTCCCTCAGCCTCATCAAGCTGTTATTCAATGTTGCTTCTCTTTAAGATAAAATAAAAAAACACGACTGGTAGAGGCAGGTAGCAATAACACACAAAACAGCACATGGGAGAGCATGATCACAATCAGCTCATTCACAACTCTCTTCTGCTGACAGAACAGGGTACTGACACTGTCCCATGCACACACTGGTCTCTGGACCATGTCACAAGCACAGCATTCCTTGCATAGCAAGCTGGCCACCGGTAGGTGCAGGGCTCTGCAAACTCAACTGCATATGAAACACAAAGCATCCCGATCAACTCAAGACCCTCGCAGTAGGACTGGAGACTCTACATGCTTGCCAGTCTCCAGCAGACGGGTGATGCCTGTATGCAGATCGGAGTAACAGGAGGTTAGTGCTGCACTCTTGAAGCATGGGAGACACATTTAGTGCCATGCTAATCAGGCCATAAGGGATCAGTCGGGTACTCTGAATCATATTAGTACCATGCTGTACCTACCTCACCTCATCAGTCCAGATATCAACCTTCTTTCCCCCTTTAAAAAGAAAAATCTACCAACCTTCAGAATCTAAAGCATGATACAGTGGTAAAGTATTCTTTATTCAAAGCAAAAGGCCACACAGACTGAAAATAGGCAGTATCTAACATGGTATTTTGTTGGTGATGGTTTCCTTGAGACAGGTTCTCTCTATGTAGCCCTGGCTGACCTAAAACTTGTCCTGAGACCAGGCTGGTCTTGAACTTGCAGAGATCTGTCTGCCTCAGCCTCCTGAGTGCTGAGATTAGAGGAGTGCATCACAAACGCAGATAACATAGGAAGTTTTAAAGAAACCTGAATGTACCAGCAATTTCCATCTTTCCAAAAATGAAAAGAGCTGGATGGCAGCATGGGGGTAGAGTGTCTGCCTAGCATATTCTAGGCCATGGCTTCAATCCTTGGTGCTATTAAAGAAACACAGAAAGAAGAAAAACAAGACAGAGATAGGCAGCACGTAAGCAGAAACCTGTAATCACAGTGCTCAGAGTGCTGAGGCAGGAGGATTCTATGCTGCAAGCCAGTCTAGGCTACAGAGTGATTTCAAAGCCAATTTATACATATGGATAAGACTGTTTCAAAATAACAAAAACAAAAAGAAAAGTGAATGAGGAAAAAGGAGGAGGAAGTAAAGAGCAGGGAAAGAAGCAAAGGGAGGAGGAAGAAGGGAGGGAGATCCGCAAGTGAGTCTTGGCTCTAACAGCCTTGGAAATGGTATTCTTTGCAAGCATCATCTAGTATCCCCATCCAGAACTTTCCTAGGTAGGGAATACAAGAGCTAGCCAAATCAGGCCATCCTGCACACCTACCTCTCCTCAGCCCACTGCTTCAAGCGCTGCTGGGCGCTGGGTGAGTGGAAAGAGAGCCGGTCCACACCGCGGCAGTTCTGCCTCTCGGGAGACAGCCTTCTTCGGAGCTGTTCCAGTTCATGTTCATACATGAGCCTCTGGCGCTCCAGAGCAGACCGCTTCTCCTCCTCGTGCTGCTGTTCTAGGCTGCTCAATATGGACTGCATGGGGTCTGAACATGTGTGGAAAACAAAAAGAAGCGTAATGATTAGGAAAGAATGATATACTTCAGACATGCATCATTCGAACTGCCATAACCCAATACCATCTGAGGCTTTATTACAGCCAGTTACTTGTGTTACATACTTTAGATAGATTTCACACTGTCTGCATAAAAAATCAAAGGGCTAAAATATATTCTGCGTGAAACTTATTGCTCCAAAAATATAAAAAGAAGCCAACAGCAGTCATACTTAAAACCTAGGAAATTCTACCCCTGAGGACAAGTTTGCATGTCCATCACAGCAGAGAAAGGGAATGGTCTGCAAATACAATCAATTATAGCCAAGAGCACAGAGTTCAGAGGTCATCAAGGGAAGGAATCATCAGAAACACATTTAGCCCCTCCTGCAAGCACAGCCTGTGCTCACCATTGCTGCCCAGAGCCTTCATGGTCACCTCCATCTGTGCATACTCAAAGTTGAAGTTGATCTCGCTAGACACCTCACTGGAGGAATCGCCGTCCGCATCCAGATGCTCAGAACTGCTGTCGTTTTTCAGGGATGCCTCACGCTCCTCGTCCTCTCGCTCTGCCTTCTTTTTCTTTTTTGGCAGATTGAGTCTTGGGGTGAAATAAGAGACATTACTTTTAAATTAACAAGGATACTTACTCATTCCATTCCTTACATACTGGGATTTGCTCGAGGCCAAGGGAATGGCACAGCTTCATATTCTAGTAGTAGACATAAGACATCCATGTGTGTGGATACAGCAGAGTCCACATAACTTTTGTAAGCTGGGTAATAGAGAAAAGCTGAAGACCATCTCAGGACAGAGAACTAGACATGGTGACAAGTTTCCAGAGATTTTAGAAGTAAAACACCATAGTGCACACAAAAGCCATACGGAGTCATCTGAGGGGCTTCAGGACCAGTTAGTAACACTTCAGTATGAAAAGCAAAACACTGAAAAGCATTCCCTATAAGCTTGCATCCATCTAACCTTTCCTCTAAATTCAAACAGCAAGCAGCATATGGGTAAGGGTCAGCAACAGTTATGAGAAAAGTCCACTTGACAGCTGAAGCACATTGGCTAAGGACAAAGAGAAGAGACCAGGTTTTGAACTCTATAGTGACCAGTCTGCCTAACCATGCAGCACAACAGCAGCCATATTTGGGAAACAGTGTTGTGGTCATAGGTGAGAACCTTCCTTTACAGCCTTTCTTGCAGCTACTGGACAGAGTCCACAAAGGGGACTAAGAGGAAGATTTCTAGCACCCTAACGAGAGGAGTGTAAGGCTGATGCTACTTCCTTGTCCCTGTGAGCTGAAAGCTTCTTTCATGGCTGCAGGGGCACAGCTAAGCCATGGGGAAATGCCAAGAAAACGATAGACCACAGCCATGGCCTTTCGGAGAGGCACAGCTCACTCTAGCAGTGACCTCGCCACGACTTCCCATTCTGTCTCAGAATATACGGCCTGCTTAAAGCCATCAGTGTCTGGTGTGCTGAAACTCCCTTAAAGCTGAGAGAAACCACCAACCTCCTTTTGAGAGAAGGAAACTACATCCAGCTTTTCTACTACTGCTTTTCAGACAAAAGGAAAAATAGTAGTGTACAGAGATGACTGACAGACGGAGAGAGCAAACCCATCAGAAAAAAGATGAATTAATTCTGACACCAGATTTTGGTGGGCGGAGGGGATCGTACACTGGGGAAGAAAAGTAAAGAAATATACAAAAGCTTAGTATTTCTGATGAGGAGACTTGACATTCTAAGGCCCCAGGGTTCACATATATATGAACAGACATATAAGCTATGCATACAACATAATCATACAAGCATGAGCACACACATAATAAGGTGTCATTTTATGGTGTTCACACTTAAATGACTCTTGTTTCAGAACAGGGTCTTCAATGGTCTCCCATTTTCAGAGATGTGAGCAATGTCATACCTGAAGAAATGGTTGTTTCCCCACAGTATCCTGTCCCCATGGTGCAGCTGGATGGGGCTGGAGACAGAAGACCCGTTGACAAATGTTCTGTGGGGGACAGAAGACGGAATGAATAGGATTACCAAACTCTCTGCTTCTACTGGCCTAAATGTCCTCAAGGAAAACCTGCCCTTGGTGAATTTAAATATTTGTAGTTACATCTTTACTCACTTACCTCAAATACTGATGACATTAAGCATTACTATTCCAGTCTTCAAAGTTCTATGCATTCACTGATGACACTGTCAGAGATTAATCTCTGTTTCTCAAAACTCTGACCATCTTAGACAGTAACGAGAAGTAAATATGGAGCCAGGACAGTAATAATGAAAGACTGACCAGTGAAAGCACAGCCAACCCAGCTGGATAAGGAGTCAAGTGGCCAGATTCTAGAAACAGTGGCAGAGACCAGGGATACAACATGAGATCTGCAGGGAATTCCACCCATGGCAGAGACCATCTTCACATCCTTTCAATCCAGAGAAGTGGCATCAGTTCAGCCACACTGTTTAGTTCGATAGCAGCCTTCTGCAGTAGACATGGTGGGTAGAACACTAGCATGGAAGGAATTTGGATGCGCGGGAAACAAGCAGCAAACTACGCCTGTGCATATTCCCAGGATACCAGCCCCATGCCTCGGTCCTGCCAAGTGACTCGCTGGCTGACAAGTGGGCTGTCAAGTACAAATTCTTTAACTTGACATGGAAGGCCTTCCCTTTCTTTCACAAGGAGGTCCTCTGCTTCTCCTCCTTCTCTCTTCCAATGAAGCTCAGCTCCTCTGCAACTAGATTTCTTTTTCTGTACACTAAACATGATCAACTCTTCCTCCACAGGGGAACCATTTATTGCTTCATCAAGAGACAAGGAACCACCCTCTCCAGCCCCTGGAGTCTTCTTCACAATCCTAGTCTATTCTGGATTCCATTCCCTCTGCAGAGCCTACTGAACTCAGTGTCTGAGTTTCTTTAAGCTCTGTAAAGCTATAAACCTTGTTTGGTTTGTTGAGACAAGCTCTTACTATGTAAGCCTTGAGCTCATGATCCTTCTGCCTCAGCCTCCTCAGTACTAGACACCACAGCTGACTATGCTCTTACCTGGCTTCATGCTTCAGTGATTTCCTATGCAGTTTCAGCCACATAAATTCTTATTTCCACTCAAACCTTGTTCCCCATGTGAATTCTTAAACACTAAAACTGACCCTTTTGCTTCTGTCTGTATGGCCATTCAAAGCACAAGCTCAAATATAGAGTTGTGATGTGCTAAACTTAGCACACCTAAGGCTTTATGCTACCATTCTTCAAATACAACGAGTTAAGAAAGAAACACAGGAGGCCGAGCTGACATTCATATAGACTACGTCAGTTATTAGCCTGACTGCTGTCCTGTCTAAGACTCACATAGATCACGCTGATCAGCACTCATAAACCTTAAGCCACCCTGCTGAAGCTGCACACACCGTGAGATTCATCAGAGAGAAATGTTCCACTAGATTATCCTAGGACCAAGTAGTATGGCATTGTAAAAACCCTGAGTAATCCTTGACCCCTAAGCACAGAACACCTTTGCTATCACAACTGATAAGTCGACAAGTTTCCAGAAAGTGCCACTGCTTTATGCCAAAGATGCCCTGACCCACACAAAGCAGCACTTCAGTCATCCTGGTGAGCAGTGAACAGAGGGAGCCTATTGTAGGAGGAACTAAGGTGGGAGGAGTAAGGAGAGGAAGAGGAGAAGGAAGAGGAGAAGCTAGGAGAAGAATGAGAGAGGGGAACATGGAGGCAGATGTTCATGTGTCTGTAGCAGTCAAAGGTAGTTGGTATATCTAGGTTGGGTATCGTACACTTCTGATTGTATGGGTATCTTGTTACTGATCATTACCAAATATATAAGCTTTTGGATAATTTAAGCATTAGAGTCTCATTTTCCTACTGGGCCCGTGAGGATGGTGGGGTGGTCTGAGCAATGCCCAGCCTTGTGGAGACAGCGTGAAAGATTGGCAGAGCCATCTCCCAGGCTGACGTCTTGTGGGTGGCAGGACTGGTGTTTCTGACTGGCCATTTCTAGCTGCGGCACACGTGGCCTCTGGCCAAGAAACATGGCGGCTGAGTTAGACAGAGCCACAACAGCTTAGATAGTCAGCATGACCAACGGCCATTTTTAAATAATTATTTCAACAGCCCATTGCCAAGGAGAACAACTGGTAGTGTTTATTGACAGTGACAAAATTGCATTTTTAACAAGAATTTCAAGCTCTGGAAAACTTTTGTCCATATCCTCCACCTGAAGACCACTGGGAAGTTATCCTAAATTGAACTCCTTAGATTTGTCATTCAGACTTGGGGACAGTATATGGAATGATTGCATGTGATAATGATGGGGTAGCAGGATGACCTGGGGTAGAACTGGGCTCTGACTGTATGAGAGAGGGTTAGGGAATTACTTCCATCATTAAAAGTGTAGCTAACGGGACTTCCAGTCTGGGCCCGAGCATAGAGCAGGTCACAGGCGGCAGCTCCGTACCCAACCCCAGAAAACTGAGAGAAAGAGGGACTCCCAGGAACTTTAACTCAGGCAGCATCCCATGTAAAAATGAATCACCCGTGAAGTCTGCGGATAGAAGTTCTAATCCAGATGCTGGCCTCCGAACTTATACTACTCAGACCTTTGAAGGGCCACTGACAAGAACATCAAACAGCTAGAGATTGACGTCACTAATCTGACGAAATCCCTTGTTTCGCTGTCTGAAGAGACCTCCTAAAATCACAAAGATCTTTATTGGACTTGATTTACTCTAGTACAATAGAAAAGGCTGTATACAGCTCTTGACTGTGTACAACCCTCAAAGAAGAAGGTTGCCTTTACATAGACAAGACAAGGAGAGTTAAAGAGAGCATGAAATAGGTAGTGAAGGCCCTAAGAAAAATCTGAGAGAGAAAGAGACAGATGAATGCTGGTACAAGAATTGGTTTGCAGCCTCTCCAAGGTTGTCAACCCTATTTCCTTCCATCTTGGGACCATTATTTGGGTTCTTTTTGCTTTTTTCTGCTGGTCCCCGGGCCTCAAATAGGCGGACTAACTCTGTGATACAACAGATAAATAATTTGGTAGCAAAACCTACTCAGATACATTATCATAAGTTAGCTA